TGATAGACAAGTTTTCAAGTTTTATTTCACAGTGCTCAAATCGCATTTCTAGCGATTTGTCCTGCCACCAAGTCAACGAAATTGTGAGGAGAAGATGTGATACTCTCACATCCATGGTCACCTTCTGGTAACGTGTACATCACTTTCACATTTTCTGTGTCGCAGTGACTCTAGATTCGTGCATAATGTTATTGCATTGTTTGTGGAAAATATCCAAAAGAAACACCAGTTACATAATGAAGGCAATCCTGAGGTCTAGGATTCGTTCATTTGCGAAGCTTGCCGGGGTTAGTGCGAAGAGTTTTGGTTTGATACTTTTCATGCGTAACTTTTGGGCATATCAAACGTGAAATGAATCAGATAACTTTAATTCCTATAACCGGTGTCGATGATGGTGTAAACTTTCCTGTTTCCTAGTTGCGCACTCAGCTCTCTACTTCCACCGATTCGAGTCAGGTCATCCGGCCGCCTCGTCGCTCCAGCAGTGTTTGTCGAGAGCTGCCAGGTCTATCCCAGCAACAACAGTTTCATCCACAACCTCAACAGCAGCAAAATTTCTTCCCACAGGCTGGTCACCTTCCGCAGATAGAGCAGCAACAGTCACTCAACAGTAACAGTCACTATGCTGCTCCCCGAGGTGTTAATCAACATCCACAACGTGTCTACGCTGATCCACGTTCCTTCCAACAACAACAGCAACCGCAACAGCAAAATGGTGCGCCGATCGCCGCTGTCAGTGCACCCACCACTGCCGCCGCTGCCCAACTGGCTGTCGAAGCCGTGGCTGCTCGCAGACATCAGCAGTATGCCTCATCTGGTAGGTTTATGCTACTGATTTGCCATTTCAGCGTACCTGGAGTTCCTCTTTAAGTTCCGTTAGGTCGAAAGGTTTCGCCTCCCTTACTACCTCTTTTATGTAAAGGTCTTCGTAATCCAGTGACCCAGAGAACAATGTCCCCCACGCAGAACGGCCTCGCGCAAAGTCGTTTGCCACAACGACAGTCTGTTGTTAATGCAAACAATAACAACAATACCGGTGTTAACTCGCGAACCAAAAATTCACGAGCTTTTTACGGCCAACAGCAACAGCTACTGCAGACGGGTATTCCATCGGTGACTGGGACACCATTCTACGGTTATTCGGGGCATCAGTATGCCCATCATCAGAATCCTACTTACCCTCTTCAGCATCAACAACAACAACAGCCACAGCAACAGATACATCAAGAATATCCACCCCCTCCTGCTGCTTTTGACGATGTTGAGAGCACAAGTAAGTGCCCTCTCTCCCTCTCTCCCATAGATTTCGACTTCATCGTCTCTCCATTCAATTCTTATGCCTTCGTATGAAGGTAGAGATTAGTTTGCTCTTAGTTTCTTTCATTTCCACTATTTTCCAAATTTTTGCGTACTTGAACGGTAGGTTAATTGGTGTCGAAGTGTATGAACTTGCAAGATTAACCTCTAAATATCAGACTAGGCGCGGAGCAGCAAGGAATTGATGCGACATCCAGTTGAGTGGTTGGATAGAATGGGCATAACTTGAAAACATCATTTTCTCATATTTTTTTCTGAAAGGCGGCGGTAGACCGAGGATGCTCTCTTCATTTCGGTAAGATACATCACGGTTAGGCTGATGTGTCCTCATAATTGTGCTTTCATGTGTATTTATTTTCATTGCTTTTTCTGACCGGCTAACATTCACTCCATCTATTCAGTGAACAATTTTGCTCTAAGCTGTGACACCGGTTTTCCTTGAATTTCTCAGTTTTCATTTCGCCTATTTTACACATCACTAACACAACTGCATTACCTTCCTTGATGGCGGATTTCAAGGTCGCAAAATCTAAGGTATATTTGTAAATTTACAGTTAGAGCCGTGTGGAATTCTGACTGGTTGGTTTCGGTGTTGCAGGTAACTAACCACTGCTGGCGTGTTTAGTCGTTTGGGCACTGTTGGAACCAACCTTGTTTGGCTTGAAATTACTTTGTTTTTTAATCAATTTTTAGGTTTTATTGAGCCTTCTCCTCCACCACCACCACCGCCCCCGACACAGTAGCGAAACCGAACTTGAAGACATCGAATCACTTGTTTGCTTGTTTGACGGCCTAAATGTATGTACGTCTGTGCACAAGCCATTGACTTATTCTCCCACCACAACATTAAAATAGGGTTAATAATTGCCTCTTTTTCCTTTTCTCCTGTGAACTTTGTGCGCTGATCTCCTGTCCTTTCTCTTCTTGGATTCTCGATCACTTTCCCCTCTCCTCCCTCATTCCCACTTAGGTGATATCTTATGTTGGTTCACGTCTGCATGCGAAAGCCTCTCGGGACCTGTTTTTACGCCAAGGGAATTCTCTCGAGTGGTTATTTATCTCCTTTCTTCCTATTTAGCAGGATCCTCCTGACAATTTGATGATTTAATTAGTCAGCTTTTTACTAGACGTAGTTACCATTGTGGCCTCAGGTTCGCCTATGCACCTGACAAACTACCTTTCTCGATCGTACTTTGTATCGCGTCATGGTAAGTGGAGAAATTGTTGCGTAAAGTGAACGTGGTTTCAATGCCAGTGAAAATGGTCAGAGAGGGGATAATGAAGGTTGGTGTCACGGGGGATTATCATCTATAAGAAAGTGTGTTTAAGTCAGACCGAGATTTCGGTGCGTGGTGCATGCAGTTGATGGCTGCTGGTGGCAAACCAAGGCAATCGTTGCTGTGTCACTTGGCAATTGTAACACCCAACCGTGGACATCCGTGGTTTCATCCATTTAAACACCTTAGCACGAATGTCTTCGTTTTTGGTCATCCAATGTCTAAGGATTGTCGTGAATGGGCGAAACATGCGCCTAGACTGGCGTTTACTTCGGTTGGACATCTATCCTACCGGACTCATGTTTGGCATGGATCACAGTTGGGACACTTTAAGTATTAACGTCAATCTTTCCTCTATCTCTCCAGTATCATCCTTCGGTCTGCATATTTTCTTCAGCATTACCATTAGACCTGGCTTCTGGTAGGCCTATGAAATACATTGCGTCGTTAATAAGTGGTAGCTCAAAAGTAGACCACTTCTCCGATTTGATGCTTCACGAATTACTGTTATTTGATGCTAGTATTTGCTTATCCAAATAATGCTCGGGCCGTCTGGAGACTTTCCTGAAGACGACACAAGGTAAAACTTTCATTTTCTACATACAGAAAGGATTCCAGCTACTGGCATAACTCAGAAGTTGGGCCTTACGACGGTGGTACATATAGCGACACGATTGCTCATCGCTAGCTATGTAGGAGTAGGTGTGGGAAGTTTGTAAATTATCAAGAAGCATTTTTTGTCACAAAAATCGTGCAATCTGCTGGCATTCTATTTCCTCTTTTGACTAGGAGTACGAAGTCGAGGTCAAAGATGGCAGTGTCCAGATTGCTACGCTACAGTAGGATGTGGTGTCAACACTTCTCAATTCCGTTACAAAAACAGTGATTTTAGAGGAGTTAGAGGGTAGCGCAGGATTTCGCGAAAACTTACTTCTCGAAACTGACGCGTGAGAGATTAACACAAATTTAAAGCCTGATAGGCAAATGCCGGTTTGGCTCAGCTCGACGGCATCAAAGACGTCTGGCTTTGAAGGCCACCAAGATTTGTACTTTAAACACGTAGGTGGTTTCACAGCCACGCGGGCTACTTGATCTCACTTTAGTACTTCTGTACACACCCTCTGGCTCTTCATCTATACTAAACAAGCATATCATAAAGTAACTGGACATTAGACTGCTTGCGGTGCCTTAGCTATGGCAGCTAAGTACTGGTATTTCGCAGTTTTTCGGGTTGGGGGGATATCGCTCGCACCAAAACTGATTCTCCTACTTGGGTCCTTGAGGGTCCATGTATTCGCTTTTACGTTATGACACGCCTTAGTCAGAGCTCCGCCAGGTGAAGGGTATTCAGAATAATCAGCTGAGCAATGCTGGGATGGGGAAAGGTGGGGTTGAAATGAATGGTTGCAACCTAATCTAGGCGCAAGCAACAGCCTTATTAAGTGATTTAAATCACAGTCTAAGGGTTTTACAGGTGACAAGTTACTTGCACATTTCTGAATTTTCGTAAAATTTTCTGCTATGATAGCGGACCTCATGGCTCTGCATTGAAATTGTAGAGCAATACGTTTTGTACTGAATGTAAGTCCTGGAGAGCGGTAATGACCGTCCCAAATGTTTATGCTTGCTAATAAATATTTGATAGCTGCCTTCCTAGCCCAAGGCAGTTGTGAAATAACTGGTTACGATGTCGTAAGGTGATCTAGGAACCTAAGGCAAGGAATTCGAAGGTAATATAAATTTGGAGGTTACATTTTGTGCAATTACTCACTTCCTTCTACTTCTAAATTTAGGGACGGATTATGCCGCATCTTTAGTCTTCTAAACTTAATGACTAAGACATGTGACATTTGGGGATGCAATTACTGCAATATTTTACTCGTTTGGCTGCCTGCATAATTGGTTCCCACTTTGTCAGCCAACCTGCCTAAGCACCATTTCCATACCAACCCTATTAGGACAAATGTTTAGTCAAAAATTATGGATACAACAATGAAGTATTAGAACGCAAAACCACACATAAGACATGGTTATTAAATGCAATCCGATGGAAGTGGATTTGGGTATTATTTAATTTCACTATCCATTTGAAAATTCAGGGCAATATGCTCCAACAGTTCAGTGTGTAAAAAACTTGGCGAGATTGATGTTTTGAAACAAGTGACTGGGACCATTTGAGACTAACGGAATTCATGAAACTTATTTAAAATCGTAGTGAAGCCTTTTAATACAACGAGCAACTTTTGGTCTTTAACTTAAAAGAATGCAGATAAAATGCAGGTTGTCACTGCGTTTATTACTGGTTTAGATTTTAGGTGAAGACATAAGAGGTATTAGTGTTTGAATAATCAGCAGTGATCGTGTAACTTCGAATGCCGTCACAACAGCCAATGAAATCAGAGTGTAATGTCTGCGAACAGCATTGGAGCTCAGTTGCGTCGTTTTGTTGCTATTTGTCAATCAGAGGCAGATCCTAATACGCGACTCTCTCATCCTCTAAATAGATCGCCTGCAGAATGGTCGCATTTGTCCGATTTGCTCTGCTCGCTTCTCAAGTCATGTCCTCCTTCTCGCTCCGCAATTCTAAGCTTTATACATCCAATTGTAGTTGCTCACCTGCAAGCAATTTCAACTCATCAACAATCACAGATCGTTGAAGGTGTCTCACCTCAAAAACGTCGCTGGCAGCCTCCTTTGGTGCTACCATCCGAGGCTTTCATTACTGCAGTTCTCGCGGAGGTGTGTCTTCATCTCTTTTCTTTATCGAATTATACATTTTTTTCCGTGAAATTTAGAGTTCATCCGTTGTCTGTTTAGGCCATGGAAGTATGTAAGAGGGAGTCTATTGTGCTGCGCGATCAGTATCAATCTTCTTTCGCTGCAGATGTTTGTGCTTTCGCCTTAGATATTCTTACTCCCATTGCACCGCCACCTCATCGCGACGTTTCCCTTGCATGGCGTTATCGCCGAAATCGAGCGGTGATTCGACAGCATGTGCACACGAATCTTCGTTACGGCCGTCAGAAGAACAACAATAATAACACCAGTAGTAGCAGCACCAACAACTGCAATAATAGCAAGCGACCACATTCTGACGTGGAAAGCACCGCAGAGGATATATCTGAGTTAGATGAGATTAACGATAGTGGTAGCGAAAGCAATAGCAGTGAAAATGACTCTGACGGTGTGATAAATGAAGCAGCTTCTGGTGATGACGTAGAAGTCGAATGCGCTGGTGCTGCATCGGTGGAAAGTGTAGAGACAGAGGATCTCTCACCCGATTTACGCCCTATTGGATTTAATCTGCGCCTCCTTGGTCCGTTGTGGATGTCCTCAGCAGTGGTGAAACAGCTTTTGCGCATCATATTTGCCTGCCTTGTTGGACGGCTCTCTAGTTGTGCGTGTGTGGAGCGTCTAGTTGCGGCCGCCTTGCCTCATGAGTTTCGTGGGCGATGGCGAAGAGGAACGGCACCTCCTCTACACCCTTTGAATCACAAAATGGATTTTGCCGCTTGTCAGCCGCATTGGTGCACAAATTGGTTGCTGCGACAGATTACCGATGCTGGACTGTCATCGGTTGTTGATTCTCTTTGCCGCCGACTGCTAGAGGTGTGTCTTCGTGGACCTCTTTTGGGACAGCTGCCCTACAGTGCGGAGTATCACCGATTCTGGGCACTAGCAGGGCTCTCTAATCTCGTCTTCTGTTGTGTGTTCTTTGCTCCATTGGTACGACTCTCATTGACTGGATGGTTGGAGAAGAAACTTACAGAACTGCGGAATGCACAGCCTCCTCCACTTATTCATGTGTTGGCACCGCTGATTATCCTCGCTCCACGTGGTTCTCCTACCTTTTCTGATGTTGTGCCGGCCCATTCTGCAATCGCCCGATTAAGACATCTGAATTCTCAACCTCCTTCAAGTAACAGTAAGTATTAGCAGTATTCCAGGTCAGCTTAGTTCTTCTTCTCCTTCCTTCAGTGCCTCGCTGGGGGTCTTCGCCTCATCCTCCACCTCCGCCCCCACCCCCACCACCTTCGCAGACCTTCAATGGGGCACCGAGTGCACTGGTAGTGGCCAGTGGCTTCCTACCTCACGAATTTCACCTTCTCTCACCCCACTCTGAACAGGTGCGCTGCCTAGTGGCAGCGTGTACGGAAATACGTTCTACCGTTCTCTCCACTCTTCGTGCCTTCGTCGAGAAGGTGACAAAGGAGGCAGATGCGCACACACTTGAGACGTCTGTGGAGGGTCTCTTCAGGGCGGTCTCGGATCAGGAGGTGGAACTGTTTAAGGAGCTCCTTGTTGACAGCATCTGTCTCGCCTCAAGTGAGTAAACTTACGATTTATCACAACTTTTCACTCATTGTGAAGTTTGAAGTGAATAAGCGCTCTGAAACCCTACATTATCCTATCTTTTTACAAAGTTTTATAATGGTAGATCGGCTACTGCTAGGATTTACTGTCCTACGAAGTGCAGGGACGACATTTACTTAGAATTATGACTTTTGCCCTATTTCCACTGAACTAATTTCATGCGGTGCAAAGTGTTAACAACTTTGCGCTGGCAAGATTGATAATTACTTAAAATTTTAACTGCAGAAGAATGTGGTTGCGAATGTCTTGAACTCCTTCTGCGTCTGGAGTCGTCTACTTCTATGCCTTCTGCAATCGTATCCTCCACTCAGTCTCTTCTTCGCCTCCTAAGCCTTCGAGCCCACGAGGCTGCAGTGTAAGTCAGCGGTTTGTTGTTCATACTCCCATGCTTCTTAAATAATAGTTTGGTGATTTTCGTTTCGCCTTCTTCCGTCCTCAAGTTGCAGGTGCTTGTCGGATAGTGAAGTCCCCCGCTTTTTTCTCGGTCGAACCCTCCTCGAGCATAACAATGGCTCTGATTTCCTATTTTATACAAACATTGGCTGCAGCGGAGCTGGTACAGGTGGGGTGCTTATGCAGCACCTTATAAAGGGAGGGTCGTACTACGCTGGCCTTATGCTCACTCTCTACGCCTGCTACACCCGCAATAGTCATCTGGCACGGATCCTCTTCAGTCAGTTCGTGATGTACAATAGAAAAATGTGCTTAAATACTTATAAGTAGACATTCTGTCGCGTTCACATTTAGGAAATGTGATTCTCTGGAATTTGGGTGCTGGTCCTCATAATCTTAACAAGGCTCGTTGTCCCCTCCTATTTTTCCTTCCTCTCCTCTCTGAGTGGGCATCCGTCAATCTGGGACCCACTTCTGCTCCTCAGGAACTGCTGTGTCACTGCCTACAAGACGTTTTGGACACTATTGCCATTGCGACGTGGGAGGAGCAGCAAAAAGCGCTTGTTAATCTTCTTTGGCTTGTACAACGTGAACAACGAGAAAGCAGTGACATCGGACCACAGATAGATCCTGCAATACTCGCTCTCCTACCACGCTTTGTCGCTTTTCTCCCTGGTCTTGTTGAAGAGACTTCGCTAAAGGTGTGTTTGGTGTAGTGTTGGGTTGTGTTTTTTACACGATAATGTTTCTTTTTCATAGAATCTGGAATTGGCACTACATCTCCTTGAGGTAGTTGAAAAGTCCCCTCCAATCCAACTATCTGTCGTTGATAGCATTTGTATCGGTCGGCGACTAGCTTGCCTCCTAGTCTCTCTCATGGAGAGGTTAGATCGAGCGAATATGGAACTTCAAGACTTGGCTATCCGGGCTTTTCGGCGAGTGGATGATCTTTTGGAGAAGTTGGCAGATTCGAACGAATTGGTCCGAGACTCCGCGTTGGTCAGCATTGCCCAAGCAGCTTGCGATCAGTTTTCAGTAAGTGATGCATTGATGGAGGCAAGACGCATTAAACTTCTTTCTACTTTTAGACAACGAAGTCATCACCGCTTTTTGAAATGGCCCCTACATCCATCCTTCTAAACACCGATAGACCGTCAGATCTTCTTCTAGATAATCCGCCACCTCCTCCAGAGTCTGCCTTCAGAACGACAGCCATTAAAGGTCAATTGATTCGTCGCAATCCTTTGAACCCAAAGGTCCCTCAAGGTAATGAGTTCTCTGTTTGGAAGCCTTCCACTTGTCTCTGGATTTACCTGGTTCGGCGACTAATCTCATCATCAAATTCACCGCTTGGTATTAACGTCGCTCACCAGCACTACTTTGGGAGGGCACTGGAGGACGCTCTCCTACCACATGGACTACAACTTCCGCAGACAAACGTTCAGACCTGTACACTGAACCCTCCCGCCTTTCAGCAACCATGTGGCCTGGGCCTGGAACGCATCCTTGCTCTTCTACGTGCCTTTCTGCCTGATTGGAAGCTCTCTTCGCCTTCCATAAACGAACGGGTTTTGTGGGGATTCGTAGAACTCTTGTTGCAGCCTCCTCCGACTTCGTCGGATGCAGCAGGTATTCCCAATTTATTAATTCGGCTTAAAGAACTTTCATAACCAAGCCTTCATCACTTTACGTCACTCTGGTCAGGAACTCAAAGTTATCAAATTTCATACCTAGTCATCGTTTCCTACTAGAGTGGTACATTAATATCTGGTTCTGTACTATGTCTATTGTTGCAATCATACGTATAGTTAACCAGCCTCCTTTAGGAACTGCGGTTGTTTGTTATTATCCACCTTCTGTATTCACCTTGTAGAAAATATCATGGACGATACGACCAAGAGACTTCCTCTACCAGCAATGCGATTGTTGTTGGGTCTCCTATCTGGATTGGAGGTTACGTGGGCCTCTCTCCTTTCCCCCCGTGTTCCTCTCTCCACTTTCACCGATAATGCTGAAGTTGAAGCAGTTCTTGGCGTCTTTCCCCTTCCTGGCATCCCTACTGTCGCGCGTCAACGCGCTCGAAAAGTGAGTGACGGTAACTGACTTGCTAACATTAGTATTTTGCATAGCTTAGCAAATCCCAAGAGTGTGCTTTCGTATAAGTGCAAAGACTTAACAGAAAGTCTTCGATTAAATAATCCGCGAGATCCTAGAAATGTCCTAATTAAATGAAAGAGATTAAAAGGGTTTACCAGAATGTCAGAACCTGGTGAATTGCAGCCATTTATTTACAGGGCGATGGAAGTACTTTTACTGTTATTCACTGAATTTACCAATTAAGTAGCATAGTTTAAAGCCCGGGTCTTCAAGGATCCGGCAGTGGTTTAGGTTTTGAAGCGTTATCCAAAAATCTATGCATGGTGGTGAATGACTTCTCTTCAGCTGGCAGTGGAACATGGTCATCGACGCGTGGACACCTCGAGTCGACTCTACAATGCCACAGAACTCCTTCTCACTCGTCTTGCTCAGTTCCCCATTACATCGAAACCCATTAACCACCCCAACTCATCCTCTTCGTCCCCACTTCCACCACCTCCGTTGGAGGGTCTTCTCTGCCTCCTTACGCCGCGAGAAATGGCGTTCTGTCTGTCAGAGACGCGTCGGGGCGTTCGCCTTCGTGCCTACTTGGCGTGGCGTGGCGGTGGTGGTATAGGAAGCAGTAGTGACGGCGTCTTTGCATTGAGTGCAGGGATGCTGCGCGCTCTGGCTCAGTCGCATCTCGTGGAAGATGGATTGGCCAGCCTCGTTCCACGCCTCCTCCTTCACTTCACTCCATCCGCATCGTCTCCATCATCTTCATCATTCCCCTGCGGTAACTCCGCAAGCGGCAGGCGTCTCCTTTCAATTCTCAACCGCAAAGGCGGCGAGGTGGGCTATGAAGAGGATGAGGAGGAGGGTTCCGCAGAAATTGAGGAGGATGAGGAAGATGAGGGAGGCCGTATACGAGAAATCGATGTCGATGGAGAAGTGATGGTGGTACTTGATGATTGAGAAAGGAATTCTTATTTTTTGCTTTTCTAGTAGTTGCTTAAGGAAAGTGATATCTCTAATGGTGTTTATACATATGTGAAACTGTTGCATAATACATTGACTTATTCCCAGTGGTTAGAAAGTGGACGCAGTTATTGGTGGCAATCTTGGTTAATTTGGTTTCTTTTGTATCCGCATTTAATTAGGCTGTGGAACTCTGGGAACGGCAAGAAGACTTAGCATGTGTGAACGTATCGAACCTTAAGGGATTGGGCATGATGACTGCCAAGATAGCCATCCTGATCGACGACGAGGCTAGAGGCTTGCCAATTTGGCATAAACATTAGGTTGTTGTAGATGCTATCATTCGTGGATGCATCCTCTTTGTCTTTAGGGCCTGAAGGCACTGAAATTTGATGCTGCCACAGAGTTTGCACAACTCGGCAAGGGGACGATTGGTCGAGTTTTAAAAGTTATTTCCCTAATTTGCTTAGATTAAATGGCCTTTTAAATGTACTTACAGTGGAGTGAATGCCTCTACAATGGGGATAACAAGATTTTGCATTCAACTTTGCGGACGTTTTTGACAGGATGTCAGTGTAGTATGTTTTTTTAGTCACCACCCGAGTTCTGGTGATGCGCTAAATCGGGTGACCACGAGGGATGAAATGGGGAAGGAGGGGGTAAGCCTTGCAGTGGACTGATACCACATAAGTGATCTTTTAACCTACGCTGATTTGTGTATCTGCGCAGTTTTGTCGAAGACTAATCTAAAAGGTCGCATCAATTGTTAAAATTTTATTATTTCGAATTTTTAACAGGGTTTAGAGATACTTAGCTTTAATTTTCCAATTTGCTTTGTGTATTCTGACGAGACCTCTCTGATGACGCGGTACTTGAGTAGAACATGACATATTGGTGCAGAGACAACGATATGTTGCAACAAAGCAACAGCATATCACATTTACTCTCCTCTGGATGGCTGTCAACGTCAAGCTTGGGAACCAACCTCCTGTGTCAGCTGTAGCAACGTGGTTGGGAGGTGTAAAGAAATACTCTTGAACCAACTATTCCAGCCATTCAATCTCCATCGGTTGCAACTTCACTGACCTTTCTTCAGGGGCGGAGGGATGCATCCATCGCTAGCCTTGGCAACACCGGCCAAATAGTCGGATTATGTAGCACGGGTTGCGAGTTGAAACCTTTCTGTGACATGGCGAAACCCCTATGAGTTCTAATGAGGGTGGTTATTATGCGTCTTACTAACCTCATGTTTAATGGCGTGTTTAAAATTAGTGCGCCAATCAAAGCTGTTTTCTCTTCAGCAGGGCAGCAAATTGCCTCCGAGTTGGGAAGTTTAAGTGAGTGGCCTTCACATAACATTTGAACTAGCTTATGTCTACAGAAATTGCACAAGTTCGTCCAAAAGACATGTTCCATAGGCTGGTGATAGGTAAGGAAGCACAGAGAAGTGATATGGTCCCAGTCGTTCCATCTTTGGCTCACGAGATGCAGATCCATTCAATGCGTTTCTGCATCAGCCTTTGACGGGATGGCCACACTTCGGTCCTGGCAGACTGCCATTTGCAGCTTAAACCTTGTAAATCTCGATACAATGGACCGTCAAAATACAGTCTCCATGCTGGTAGCAATGCCATTTACTCCTCTGTTCCCTCATCAACCCACCTTTTACCGATGAATTAATTATTTACAAATCTACAGCAAGAGCTATTTGCATACTTTTCGTATTTATTTATCCATACTGCACCGTTCCATGTGTGCATTCAGTGTCCATTCATTCCTCTCAAATTCGTCTGCTCAGCGATTCATTTGTCTCATATCCACTTCTTCCCTTCCATCCCTTCATCCTGCGTGCAACCGACCAAAGGAAGTCATTGCATAATCTGCCAGTACTCTTGAAGTTCTCTGATAGTATGCTGTTAGCAATTCTATTGTTATTGTTTATGAACCGTTTTTAGGTTCAACTTGACCACATCTAGATTCTCTTTTGTGACGTTTAGGGCTTATGCTAGCCTTTTGAAGACGGAATCTCCAAATTTATTGTCCATTCAAAGTGACCCCAAACAATTCGCCTTAGTCTTCGTGGCAGGAAATTAATTCGAAAGCTACTTTTTCTTGCCCATCAAATGAAATCATCTTGCCTTGTTATTCGATGCAGTCCCCGCACTGCGAGAGCGAGCCATCTTTCTGGACGCGACAGTCAGTGCATTACAAAGCAAAGAGATGTGGAGGTGCGACCACTTAAAAGTGGATGAGTACTTGCTTGAGCATGGGGTGCCCCATTCCACCGATGCGTGACCGCTTAAGGGACTCTGTTGCACCAGCGGATCGCAAGGCCTTCTGAAAGAGACACCTTTCGCTATCGAAGTAATCGTAAATGATGTTACCGCTTGTACTGTATGGACAATATGCTTCTACTAACTTCTAGAACAATCCTTTGCAGCTTAAAAGCGGCGCCAAAAAGCCGCTCCGTGTAGTAAGGCGGGTTCCGTATGGGAGGTCTCATCACGCGAATATAGCGAAGTCTCACCTATAACGCCATTAACCACTGAGACTGGCAAACCAGATTGGTCAACCTGATTACTACTCAAAAAAATAAAATAAAATAAAACCAGCCTCATTTTTTTTGAGAAATATCAGGCTGCATCCATTGTACAGCCTGCAACTAGCCCCCAAAATAGAACTACCACAACAAGCATCAGTGAAAAGTGTAAGTGAAAACTCGATTAGCAACTAGGCAGGCCACCACAATTACATGAAACCAACTGAGCACTTCGCTGTACCATCACTGATCGCCTTCGATACTGTCAACCGAAACGAAGTCTCATCCTCTGTCAGAAATGTTTTGAGTGTTGATTGTTACTTGTATCCAATTCCCGTCCAAGGACATCTGGTCTGAAGGTAAGGGCATGCAACGGAGGACGAAATTCAAGTCTTTTTGGTGAAGATTGGGACTTTGGGTACCTGGGTTCCATCCAGCAATGAGCGAAGTTAAAGACGAATTCCGTGCGAACATGATTGATTGCAGCGTACAAGTAGCCTAAAAAGCCTCGTACCCAACGTTGCCAAATGATTCATGGGCAGTTCTGCTCCGGGTTTTAATTGCACGTCTACAGAACATGGAACTGGGCAGTTGCCGAAAAGTAGGCGGTATTTTGGCCCTTCCTTTGAGACTGATTTTCAAAACCAGAAACTTCGCACCTCTTCCACCTCGCCAAGGCTGAGTTTGCTTTGAGCAACCAGCATGACTCGCAGGTATGCTCTTCGAGCTAAGCCAGAGAAATCGTGTACCTTGTTTGCCAAAACCGAAGACTTAACTATCAGCATATTATATCTCAGTAGTTTCTGATTGTAACCCGTAACCCGTTCTTGACGAATTGACAAACGGTGCATGACAAGGTAACAAAATTAGATATTTGGATAAATCCCTTGATAAATTTCACCATCAAAACCACAAGTGAAACAAATTTCAAATACATCCGTAGGTGCAGCGACTTGCGACCTGATATATTTTACGCATTTTTTTTTATTCAAAACCACTTGTATTCATAGGGGTGCTTGTGTGAGTATGTGCAAGGCCACTGCTATCACTTTTACTAATTCCCTCGTGGCTAAAGTCAAATCAATTTCTAACTACCGTTAGCAAATCCGATTTGTTTTGTTAAAGCATAATGTATGACTTCTGTAGCTTTAATTGTTATAAGTCAAATGCGACTTGAAAATGTACGTTTTGCGGATCACCCACTAAATTTACACCTTGTTCCACCTTTGCGTGCACACTTATTTATAAAATCATTCCAAATTTCGGTGCCAGAGCACCAGAATGGAATGCCAACCCGCTACCACATTAAACAATACATTCGATGTGAGAAAAATGGCAAACAAACGTTACTTATTTGTCAACCAAACGCGAGCAGATTAAAAACTCCTCCCAGGACAGTAGACACTTAATTCGATTCGCCCGTGGACCAATGGCTGCATGACTTGCGTGCGAGGATTTATTGGTCAGCCGACTTGGGGAAGCAGGAAGCACAGTTGTCATTGGCTAAAAGAATTTTCTGGCCAGCAGCGCATTGCCTCCGCGGTTTTAAGTAAATCCACCCGCTATGCTGGGAGGTTAGTAAATGGATTTCATCCCGCACCACACATCTATTTTGTACAGTTTTTTATTTTGATTAACAGCAGAACTGTAACGAACCATCATAAAAGAATAGCATTTTTATTCAAATCCAGTGGCACGTGAGTGGTTTCCACTTCGAAACCAATTCTGCGATGGTGAGTGTACCGCTTTTTGTAATTCTGATATCTTAAGAATGTTGGTCTTGGAGTGTTTCCTCAAAAAACTCAAGGGAATTTTCTGTCCTCCTTTGTTCCCATGCTCTCAAAATAGTGCACTTATTATTAAAACAATGCACCAATAGAGGGAAGGGGTGATTTCTCGGCACAAATATAGCCGAAACTTTTTAAGTAAGGGTTCGATTTCTTCTTTTTGGCCAATTCCATACTTGTATGAAGATGCGACACTGTATCCGACTATTTTAATCTTCGACTATCTACATCTCATAGATTCAGCAAATCCCAAGTAAAATTAAATTCCAAAGGTCTTGGATGCAACACTGACGGTCAATCTTTGTCCAAGGTTACAAGCTCGCAACCAGGCCAAACATCTGAAGATTTTTTCATCCACATATCACAGATAATAAGCAATAGAATAGTTTATGACATACTCTTATTTTAAACCGACCATATACATTGACTTGCCTCTGATATTCTTTTGGAGCTATGATCAAGACACAAATATGGTTCAAAGCTGTGATAATGAGATGCATTTTAATGAAATCTTACTTCTAGCTCAACTCTGAGTGGTCTGAAATCGAATTGATTCGTCTTCGAAACGACTTCAACAGCGGCCTAGGATTCGGTCTTCTTGGCAACAAAACTACAGGTGTTCTCGTGCGAAACATTGTGCCTGGAGGAACTGGCGATCTAGTAAGTATGTCTTCCACACTTCACTCACAAATCATTTAATTGACACCTTTATTTTTGTGTTCTACTTAAAAGTTATTTAGTAGCATCCTCTGCATTACAAAGTAGAGGAAAGGTAATTATGACAAAGTTAACGGGGCTATAGCCCTCATAGCTATTCATCGTTTGAATAAGCCATATCATTTGTGTTTTTGTGGTTAAGACAGGAAATCTTCGACCAGGCGACGTAATTTTGCGGGTTGGAGAGGTTTCCACCCGAGGCTTGGGTCCAGATCAGGTAGCTCGCCTCCTTAGACAATCCGTCGTATCCAGTTACGTCTTTAGCGGTGCTTCTGTAGACACCACCTCAAGCACCAGTTCTACTTCCACTGTCACCACGAACACTGCCAACACTAACATGTCAAGTGCAATTCCAGTCAGCTTGTTGGTTGCCCGGCCGGCTCAAGGCAGTCCCACTGCCCTGGCTACTGTCTTTGAGGAGCAAAGTCGGCAAGTCAAGGCTCGACAACCCCTCGGACCTCTCTGGTAATTTCTCAATTACTGACTCTAACAGAACTTAACGCCCCTGCATACTAAAAATAAGCTTGGATTAGTATTTTTACTATACTCAAAATTTCAACTTCTTATTCATTGTGAATGATAATCCTTATTTTGTCAGCATTGTGCCAACGGAGAAATTAGATGAGTCGTTGGACTGCCTCGCCGATCTTATGCTTCCACTGCGTCCATCCACTCCAGCAGCCTCAAAAACGCCTCCTGAAGTTCTTCAGGAAGCAACTCAAGCCTCACATAAGGAAGGGTGTGTGGAGACTTCAATACTCTCCCCAGTGCTGGGAGTGGAAGATAGTGCTAGAGGAGAGGAGCCAACAGAGGACTGTGTGGAGTTCTCCGTGCTTTTAAAAAAGCCGTCTGGAGCGCAGAATTGTGGCCTAGGACTCACTATTGTGGGTTATGTGTCGGAGAAAGATAAGGATAGAGGTGCTTAATGTTTTAACACTCAGACATAAGGATAATTCTACTTATAGTCATGATGGTTTGCGCATTTTTTAGCTGTGACAGGAATCTACGTGAAAGACGTCCTGCCTCATGGATTGGCCAGTCTTTCTGGTAAAATAAAACAGCACGACCAAATCATCAAGGTATGCTACGATCGGTCATAACTGCAGATATTAAGGGCAAATTGGTGCATGATTATTGGCTTGTTAATCAGTCAAGAATAGAGACACACCTAACTAGACGATATTTTGATGCCAAACCATTGACTCAGCTCGCTGAGGATGACCGATGGGAACGCCTTAAATGTAGACAAATTCTGTGGATGGGACAGCGACTAATTTCAGCTTTCAACATTCTGCCAAGGTGAATGGAATTGATTTGAAGACTCTCTCCAACAAAGCTGCTGCAAATTTGCTTAAGACAGCAGGTCCGGTCGTCCACCTGACCTTCCTTCGACACACTTCTGGTCGCGTCTGTGAACAGCTCAAACAATTGGGTAGGCACTCTCACCGAGAGCAATTAACACATCGGACTTTCAAAGTTGGACTTTTCCTTGAATATTGTATGCTTTCGTGCTTTTAACTTATTTACAGTTTCTTCTTCCGCTCCACGCTCACGGACACGGCAGACATCGGCGACCCTTCCCAGCGGCTTCCATAGGCGATACCAACGTCATCACTCACGTCGGAAATACGCCACAATAGGCTCAAAGTCCTATGGAGCCCTTTGCATTCCGCGTGAACCACGCAAACACTTTGGCACATGTCCAGCACAGAGTGAGCTTCTTGTAGCACCGCTCGTAAACTCGGACGAATCTGAAGACTCCAGTGAAGTGATGCGAAGCATTCTGGGCCCATCAACGTGTCAGAGCCTTCCAATGCTGTCTGCAGCCAGACTGATGGAGGCAACATCGACAATATCCACGTCTCCTTCTTCCATATCGACTAAGGAGGATGTCGAGGGGTTGCAACGGAATTCTACGCCTACAGGGTTGCAGGAGGAGCAAACGACCTCATCGACGGCTGCATCCATGACACTGAACAGTTCACCGCTAGATGAGATGGATGAGATTGAAATCTCTAGTAGTATGAACTCTCCAGTACGTACAGGGCTGCATTTGGCGGTTGAATGGTTTGAGTTGAATCAACTAAGGGCTGCAATACACTACGGTGAGTTCATTCCTTGCGATAGTGTTTTGAAGCATGCTCCAACACAGTTCGATTTATTTTACCGAGGTTACTTCATTTCGAAAAATCAGGGGTAGAGGGTCGCAAATATGGTCCAAGAGTCAGTCAATTTACGAACATTCAATGATGAAGCCTAACTTTGATCTATTTCCCGAATGGAAGGTTGTGTTATCGGAGCGCTAATGCAGTAGGGAGAAAAAGGAAGATTTAAGGGATATAGACTTCGCAAACACTACATTTAGCTCTAACAATTAAGATGCGAAAATGGAAGTGAAATATGTTCGTTCTACTTGGTACCGGTTGTAGAAAATCTGTTGATTAGATCCTCTTTTACACTACACGCATTCATAATTCTGTCTTGTCGTTGGGAAGTGCACCTCTTCGAATGTTGTTTGAAGTCGCCTAGACATGTTTAAATTGCTGGATATGCCTACGATTTTCGAACAGGTGAGTTCTTTGCACGGCTGTCGGACTCAAAAATTGGTGAAATACTATTGTCTGCTCTGCACGGGGTAAGCTACTCAAACTTTCCAAAGTGTGGGATCAAGTCAAATAGATACGATTATGCGAGGGAACTAGAAAAGTTCGGAGAACGTGGCTTGGCGCTAGGACAAAGACCGAAGAACCTAAGAATTAAACTCACAGCTGACGAGACACTAAAATACTACAAGGGATTTTGTGGACTGAAGAGCATAAGAGTAGAGGTTATCCGAAATTGATTATTGAGGCAAGTCGGCCCAAGCATTTAATCACTCACTTTTATAGTTTGAAGAAAATATTAAGCAGCAAAAAGTTAACCTGTGCTTACCACTGCAAAGATTTACTGCAGAAAGCTTTTTAAGGTGTGTAAGTTTTGTTCAAGTCAATCAAAGGGAGCCCGTACTTTAGATAGTTTTTAGTTGACCAATTAGGTAAAAGCATCCTTACTGTTAGGTTAATTTTTGTGGTCGGATTGATCCTTCCATACTCACCATACCAGAAGTGAAGATTTTCGATGTAAAATGCCAAGGAAATCCCTGAAGCACTACGTCACGAATATTATCAGTTTCGCGAACTCTCGCAATAAAAACAGATATCGTGAACGGTCAATTTTATATTTTGGTGCGTAAGCGTTGCACTATTACTTGTCTCACTCACTATCTACCAAAATTTTTGACTTGCTTTATGCGCCTGTTTGGGTTTCGTAAGTCTTTTGCGGATAAGAATTATTAAACTCGTCAAACGTCCTCGAGTCATTGTACTTTAACAGGGTGTCGCCTCAGATTTCGTCTGCGTAGACATGCAAGCTGTTGATCCTACACATTAGAACAGTAATGCGTGCTTTACGGACATTATGCATTTTGTTTAATTTATTTGACAGATTCGATGATTTCAATTTTGGCATAAGCAACTTGAACTCATTGATTGCTACAAGGAGATGTCTATTTGGAATCTTCATTTTCTTCGTTTTCGTCTTTTTGAGTCATTGCTTCACGTCTAACTTACTATAGTGTCCATGGCAACTCATTGAATTGAGGAAACGCAGTTTACTAGACATTTGTTTTGCAGCAGCTGCTTGGTATGGCTGCCTTCTTATTTGGTTCGTCCTGGGACTTGGTCACTTATTCCTTTTAATATAGTCTTTCGATGTTATCCTTTTGTCTCAAGGGTTGGATCATAGGGCAGGAACAAGCCATATAACGTCTCTGAAGATGTCTTTTACGAATTTTTGTTTTATGACATCTCACTACACTGATGTAATCGTTTGCACCGAATTTTGCACAACTGTATGCACAATACTGGACATTTATTGGCACTTTTTATTAAAACTAAGCTAGGCTTTGGGTACTTCGACGTCATATTAGAGCCAAGTAGTTTAGGTCTTGCCTACGGCAAGCAAAATTGCCATGTGAGTATAAAGGTCTATTTACGTGTTACGGTCGCTCGTTATTATTTTTTTGTGTGGTAGTCTGGCAGTCTGCCATCGCTTGACCTTTGTGCCATCGTACGCTCTTTCATCCGTTTGTTTGTTTGTTTCTGACAACTCGGTCCATACACTCACGATCACTTCAAAAATGGTCTTACTAGTTCTTAATATCACTAACTTTCCGTGTTTGTAAGAGACATTTTTGAGATTTGTAGTTGCTCGCACACAAATGCTGCGGGGATTGTTTGTTTATGCATGCAGCACTCAGTGAACATCCTCTTGTCACATCATCGATTGCTAAAATGAACCAAGTTGCGCTGGCTGTCAGCGCTTAAGTTTGCATGCGGTCTCGGGCTAATCCGGAATAAAATTAATGTGTATGCTTAATTAATCACGCTTCTTACTGAAATCCATTTTAAGTAGCTACGGCTGGTTGAACCATATGAACATCGTAAACATAGATTTGTGATATCAGTGGTCAGAGGCTATGCATAATATGAATAGAGTTAGTATGGCCACTGAAAGATTGCTCGTGTGCACGCGATATCAGTATCATTAAATTTGCAACCTGTGAGGTCACTCCGGGTCTACTGTTGCATAAAGTCATGGGGCCACTTAGTTTGTGCGAACCTATGCGCTTGGCACGAGCAAGTGCCCTGACAGCCCATTTCACTGCGACTGTCATGCGTATCCGATGTCCTCGCGCTTTATTCGGGTCCTTATGTCACAATTGTGGGGCATGTGCTCTTTATCTGTTTGTGGACAACCGGTCACATTTAGTTCTGCGCTGCGAAATAGTTGTTTTTAGATTCGAAAATGGCAGTTGGGTAATACTATTAGTATGAAGATAATTCATTTTCATTTCAATTCTAGCTAGTCATTTTGGTTATACAACCGCTAGTAGCAGTTGGTTGTGGCGTTTAGTTTCCTCATGAGAATCTAGTATTAAGTTTTAATGCTTTTTCAATTTTCCTATCAACTAGCTGGACGCATAACTCCAGAGTTGGTGAAGTTGATGGTGGATGTGTGGACGCCAATTGTTGGATTGGGAAAAGATATCTTGGTAAGCTGATAGCCGTTATAATTCATTTTTGATTTTATGATTTTTCATTCAGTTAATGCACGATTTTTTCCGATAGATAAGCCTGCTATTTTGGTTTAGAGATTTTGTTTTATACCCGCATCGAGACCCTTCAGTCTATCCAACTGAAAGTTACTGTTTTATTTTTGACATGGGAAATCGGAGGCATTGGGAACCGTTTTGTAGCAAATGTATCTCATGATAAAGACTGAGTTGAAAATCGAGCGGTTCTTTAATGGATACACTGAGGTCCGAGGTGTCAGCGTGTAACAGTTTGAGAGGACTATTGATTATGCAAAGGGAAACGCTTTTGGCGTAAAAGTTTTCCATTGGGCAAAGAATAAATGACGAAGGTACAGTCGTTCCCTTTTTTCAGATATTTTGAATAAATTGTACAATGGGTTTTCTAGGCTAAACCTGCTGCAGAGAAAAATCGGAGTACTTCGTGGTAAGTTGAGGTGATTGCAACTGTTTAAGGTGGGTAACTTCAGACGCCGTGTAAAAGCACCACCGGTTTCAATGGTAAATTGTTTAATCATTTGGTATGGTCTTGCTTTGCGAATTCAAACGTCAAAGTGATGGAGATCGCATTCTGCAAATAAGTGAGCTTCCATGCTGAGGAGTCATTGAAGGATGTTTAAGGTAGGTGGATTCATTGGTTAAGGTCAAGAAAGGGTCTGGATACCAAAAGTTTATCTTCTGGGGTGGCTTGAGGCAGAATATGGTATTGGGTTTTATTCATACCGACCCTTAACCGGTCAGCGGGTCTAAATTGTAAGAATGACATTGAGACTGTCTCGATCTCTTTAAAGACCCGGAAGTTCAAATTTTCCATTGGGTGTCCTTTTATGCAGAGGTTGCATAGAACTTTTCGGAAGCAAATTCGTTTTTGGTAAAATGAATCGTCGTTGGTTATTGTCCATTGCCCAAATCTCCCTCTCTTAGAGCGATAGATGAAAGAGACGGCTAGTTCAAACGAAAATTGGTGTGTGGAATGGTTTCAAACAATGAAAGTTGTTGGTTTCGAAGAAGGAGTCTTTGGGAGGGCACCAGAAACTGAAATTGTTGAGCAACTTTTGACGAAAAGGAGTTTTAATGATGTCACAGAACTCTTTATTTGAATGATTGGTGGAAAGACTTGGGGTAAATTTTGCATTGATTTGATGGCCCTATTTGGCGAAAGCACTATCACACACTGTAAGGTTAGTTAATCTCCTTTTTCACCGAGGATTACCAAATGGAATTTCCCTCAAATTCACCTTTAATCCGTGAATAAGTGGGTGCCTTTTATTACCTTGTTGAACTGACTCTTATAAACAGGAAGTCATCAGCATCTGACTATGGCCATTGCAAATAATCTCGATTAGGATAAAGTTAAATGATCAAATTTATCTCTCTATTCTGTTTATCACTTCATCCGTCCAAATATGTGTAGGCTGCAAAATTATTTCACACCATATTGCCCTCACTCATGTGATTTTTGAGTTTCAATGGCCGGAACGTGGTGGAACCACGAAGCTAAAATATTTTAACTGTAACCAGGAAACCATAATTGCCTGGTTGGTCTTGACTTGGCCTTCTCTTCTAATTTGCTCTTTTGTAGGTCATTAGAGTGGTTCGACCAAAAAACTTGCGTCAACTGGGATTCTCCCTAATTGGATCCACTATCGACCCGACACGAACGAATCCAATAGAGTCGTCTACGCGTCCGGAGCACCAGCAAGAGTCGGAAGATGGTGAAGGTGGTGCTAAATCCCCAGTGGAGATTTCGAGTGAAGAGGCCTCGCGACACTTTGTCCACACTGTCTTGCCTGGTGGCCTTTTCTCCAATCTGAACTGTCTCAAACCGGGTGATGAACTTCTTCAGGCGAGTTGCTCTTCTAACGATTTTTTGTGTAAGGAGTTCACTTGTCCTTCGATTCCGACCTTCAAGGTTAAGCCTTGTCCACTTAATCCGAATGTTGTTCATTTCGGGTATATGGTAGAGGCTCTTGTCAATACAGCTATGATTCCACTCTATTTTGAACAACTAATTTGAGTTAAATTACCGTTCAGTGGTGTCTGATTAGATAAACGTAAACACCCTCTATGAAGCAGACAACTGCTATCGCAAATGGAGCTTCATGATCATGGTCGGGTTTACCTCGCGCTACTTATTGTACTTTTCAGTAGGTAAGTGAATGCATTGGTATGAAGTTGAGAGAAAAGACTAACTTCGTGCGCGTTGGACCATTAAAAGTGTCTTTTTTGCAGAGCTGATGTTAACTGATGCCCATTTTGGGGCAACTTCTAATTCTTGAGTAAAGTGTCGGAACAGAATAAGGTTTTACCACAATATCCTGATCTCTTTCACTGGTGACGTTTATATATTTGTTGCCGGTCAAGTTAAAAGCTTCTCATCAATCATATTGAGGCTAGCTGGTTTTGCTTATTCTATTTAGAAATTTGTATGTGACGTTTGAGGCCAATTTTCCGAGGGTACAAAAATCGCTAAATTCTTTTGATTTGAAAAGAATTTTGAAACAATGGGCGGTTTTTTGTACAATTTCTGAAGAGACTTCACTTACAGTATCAAAACAGCCTATCTCTTGGGCAAATCTAGTCAGTGGAAACACGTGGCTTTATTTTGGTCTTGGTACTGAATTTGATTTTCATGACACTGAGGCATTGTCGATACTGGCAAATACTGGCGGACTCCCATAGACAAGTGCATTCTTACCATGCCTGTTCCGATCCACACCAAGTTCTTTAAATCGTGTATCAGAAAGATAGCAACGGCGACTCTGTTGTGGAATCTAATTTTATATTTGGGAATAACCACTAGGAAAGGTGTGTGCATTGGTGATGCTTTTCGCCAGGCACTGGTTCTGGTAGCAAGTATAGCCTCATTTTACTATGACTCCAAACGGTTTAAAACCCGTCGGTTTCATCACATTGAATTTGAGTCTAAAATGGAAAAGTGATTGTTTAATGGACAATCTTTAGCAGTTTGGACGTGTGGCTTATTACAGACATTTAAGTGACTTTTGTATGCCTTAAATTCTACTGACGCCGGTTATTTGCTCTCTTAACGACAGTGGTGATTCATCTGTACTCACCGGTAGTAAAGATGCCAGCACATCAATAGGCTGTTAACTGATTTTAAAACAGGCTTTTATTCACAGTTGTATGACGCGGTGGAATGGTTACTAAAATGATGCGTTGGCTAGTATTTTTACCTTTACTTTCTGCAATGGTATTGTTTTCTGCAGATGACACCATGTTCACTGCACTTGCACGTTGGGTGCCACTTATTTGGTCGGATTCTAATTTTTACCTTTGTAAGAGTATCACGATATCATTGCACACCTTCACGTGCACATTGTCACTACTAGAGGGGAAGCAGCAGGATGGGTGGTTTTGTTTCCTTCATTTAAATTTCTAGGTTTTGTGGTGAAAGGTCTCTTTCCGTCACTTGTCTTACCGTCGACGTTTATCCTTCTGAGTGGTAGCCTGAGTTTTGTTAACGCCTCTTTTAGAAAGCTAACGATTTCGCCTTCTTTACAATCATACCGCGTCATTGATGTAGCTTGATTCTAATTTACATTCTGTACTATTATCCCTCGTTTTATGGATTATGCGAAAAACATTGTAACGATTGTTATTTACATGGGTCTCCTAGATCTCGTTATTCATAATTCGGGAGTCGTAATACGTATACTGTCTTCAGCAAACACTCATAACTTCAGGTATGTTATGGGTATCACCGAATCCACTGCTTGGCTTCGACTCGGTACAAGGCGTACAAATGCTAGCGAAGCCAGCCTCTTTCATGCATGTGTTAAATCTGTTGCCATGACCTTCTCAACTCTCAAATGCGGGAGTCGGGATGAAAATATTATCGGAATCGGTTTTGTTTAGTGGTGCTTGAAGTATCCTGAATTCAAAGGAGGGTGTTGCAATACCTTGTTAGTTTGACCAAACACTGGACGGTTTACATCAGTGGGCCTGCGTTTGTCTCGCAGCTTCTTATTATTCAAATTATTGTTTACGGTGAACTTGATATTGTGATCGGTTCCTTTAGACAGGTGGTAATGCACAAAGACAGGTGGCAGAAGCGACTCCACCTGATCGTAGAGCTGAAATCGATTCTTGTCCCCCCTCTCCCCACCTACCGATTAGTACAAACCTGTTTTTAAGTCAGTTATTGCTACATATAGTATTTCACTCCTCAATTCGATGACGATAATGCATCATTTACCGAAATCGGTCCTTTCAGCACAATTGGTGGTGACATTCTCTTCAATCTCTAATGTAGGTGAATGGTTACAGACTTCACGGCCACTCGCACGTCGAGGTAGTCCGCTGCCTTCGTTGCCTACCTTCACACATCGAATTGGTAATTGCACGTCAGCCAGATTGCGCAGGCATGAACGGTGTCAATGTTGGGGATGGCGATGGTATTTCCACCCTTCTTGCTGACAATGTTAACGATTCTGATACCATAATGCACGTTGCCGCCAGCGAAATTGGATCTGTGGCCACTGGTGTGGACGACATAGATAGCTCCTGGACAGGTCTCTCACCCGTAACCCTCCCAACCCACCCTCCAGATCAAAGGATATCTGAGTGGATTAGAGGTTCACAATCCGATATTCGTCTTCCTGAGGCCAAAATTCCTTCTGCTAAGGTGAAGTTCACTGGTGTTATTTGATTTGCTGCTCAAATAAGTCATATTTCGCCACATATATAATTTTGATGCTACTTATTTTATATTCAATAACATACAATGATAATACTAGTGTGCAGATGCAGCTCTGAGCGTTTAAGGAAACGCTTTTCCATACTGTTTACTGTCGCGACTTCCTTTGCTGTTTGGTGTTAAGGTAACGTGGATTATTATTGCTAACACATTCCAGACAATTGGTTACGGTAATTTCGACCCCTGTTTTTTGTCTCTTCACTTTAATCCAATTCGACACTGAATTAAAAGTGGGATGACGTTATTCATCAGATGACTTATTTTGATCTTATTTTTGTACCGGCGAATCGTCGGACGTAGTTTTCCTAAATTCTACTGCTCTTTGATGACTTTCTGTGAAGGCCTACCTTTTTACCTCACTAGCGTTATTTTCTTCAAATTGATTTTTGTTAAACAGTACAAAGCCTCGGCTCCTGATTACGGTGACCAAATGTTCTTTTTGTCACCTTAAGAGTGCGGATCGGAGCCTCATTTTTTCCCCTACGAATTTTTCATTATTTAACGCACTTTATGCATTCAGGATGTACCCGCTATCTCTTTACGGAATTTGTACACAAAACGTGATTTTTTGCACTTATAGGACCCGAGTTTATTGCCTTTTGAGTCGGCAGCGGCATCACCAACCTTGAGTAGTGTGATCGGCGCCTCCCCACCAGTCTCCGCATTATTAAATGACGGGCACGTGGGCCTAAAACCAACTTGGTCAACAGTGCCCCTCATCGTGATGCTGCATCGGGACAAACCCGGCTTTGGATTCTCTATCTCCGTTTATGACGAAGTAAACTGCTTAAAATTTTTTTTTTGGATTCACTTATTTTGCTTGGCCATTGGGTGTGACGTATTTAGGGGAGAAAGGATGGCATTCATGCTCATATGGATCCATTACAACTTTAGCTATCTAATCAGAGTTATTCATGTTTGTACATGCATCAATGTTAAATACACGACTTTTTCATCGATGCTTCTCAAAATACACCGTTTTCTAATATGACTTGCATGGTTACATTTCACTTGGTTCGCTTTCAGGGTTTGGGTAGTGGTAAAAGCACAATACGACATAGTAGCACACTGAGGCGATCCTCCTCTCTCAGTCGCCGTCGTACCGTTGCCGGTGATATGAACCGCTCAGATGAAGATCGCTTTGCCACAATCTGTCGAAGTAGCTCCCTCTCCTCTGACACTACCATCCGTCGTGGTAGTTTCCTCATCATCAATTCCATCTCACGTGGCAGTTGTGTCGATCTGGACGGTCGAATCAACGTCGGCGACCGTTTGCTCTTCGTTAACGATCGAAAACTCACTCGTGCTACTCTCGGTGAAGCTGCTAACGCTCTACATAACGCTCCACTCGGTTATACCATGGTTGGAGTTGCTAAAATGTCCCTGGTACCTAGCTCACCACCACTCGCCATTGCCTCCTCACCACAGTTCACCGCTCTTGTCTCCAGTCCCGATGATTCCATGGCCATGCAGGTATTCATCCTGCTGAGTTCAATAATATTTTTGTATGCATCACTTTTCAACTAATCTTATTAGTTTTCTTTCTCCACTTTCCTCTTTACCCTCTTTTATTTGGCATGTAAATTGTTGTAAATGCTGTAGGCTGTCTGTTTGCTGATAAACCCCATCCCCTGCATGGCTGCAGGTTATGTGTCTGTAATTCGTTCACGTCCCCTCTACTATCGATCGATGGTGACCAATCGGGATAAGCACTTGTGGGGTGACAACTCATTGTCCTCACCCCAACTAGTTAGTAGACGCCTAGTTGACGAAGTACTAGAATACGCCAGAGACATAGCGAGCATTGTGGAGGAGGTGATATCCTTGGCTCTAGTTGAGTTCCTCCAGAACTTCATCACTACGCCTCTGGAAGAACAGGTGGAAAAGATAGAGCCCACCGAAACTGTTGAAGTACTGGCAGCCTCCCCGAGCGTCTTCTATCTTGCCTCTATGTACGAAATTCCTGTCGTTATGGTGATGGCGCAAGGTGTAGAACTGATGGAATGTGATCATGATGACGAAGACGATGAATACAGTAGTCTAGAATCGTTGGATACCTCCTCGGAGCAGTCAGAGTTGAGTCAGTCCTCGGAAGACTGGTTGGCCAGCTTAGAATTTGTGCGGGACACCGAGGTCGGTTGAGCACACTGCCTCCGCTGCCGTCGTAACTATTCCCTCTGTTTTTTAGCATGTTTTTAGCATGTTGTTATTTTAGGCAAGTGTGAATCCCACCTTTCTGTTTGCTTGACATTTTGTCGGATTCGTCGATAAGAGACATGAAGAAGGTTTAGTTCGCTGTTGGCCTCTCAGTTCTTTCAGTGTTCTTTGCTGCAGAATGATTCATTACTCAACCATTGCTTTCGTTTGTTGGTGTTTCTTATTCTGAGATATTGTAAAAGAGAGTATTTCAATGCAAGGCAAGTGTAGTGGCAGATGTGCATATCGCCTTGAGTATGCCATAATCCGAACTTTTGAAGGAATTATGATTTTCGCTACTCAGCGTTGTTGTGTTGTCTTGCCTTGTTGTCATTGTTCTGCGTCCTTTCATCCACCGAAATCTTGTTTATTCACGTTATAACAAACAAGCGGGTCACATCTCTTAAACCGCGTGATCTGCCTAAAGTACAATCTCATTCACGATCCATTCACCTCATTTCATTAATTCACTCACTCGTTACCACACGCATCGGGTAGAATAACAATGTTTTTTAAACGCGCAGCACGAAAGGTCAAGCATGTCATGGTGGGTTATCTCCCACTCTCATCCCATCAACTGCTTTTTCATTCTAAAGGGCGGGTCAGTTTTCCTTCTTCCCCTCTCATCTCTCTCTCTCTCTCCCTATCCCCAAATGTAGGAGGAGTTCGCCAAGGAGCATGTGAAGGATCATGTGAGTTTTTAGTGACTTGTTGATTGATTGACAGACTTTTTGCGGAGGCTTGCATCTTTTGGAAATAATGTTCCTTGCAATAGGGCAATTTTCTTCCATTTGGGGATCTCACTTTTCCACATTCTTTGTATGTGTGTCATTTTATTTAGGTGTAATTGAACAGATGAAATTGTCCTCCTCTGTGTATGCGCTTGAGTTTGAACTACCTTTTTGTGCAATTGTTCGGTGCATAAATTCATTAACGAATAATAGTCAAGAGGAACTTCAGAGATAAAGGGATGGAGGGCAGCTGGGTAGCTTACTGATTGAGATAGTGACTGAGGGACTAGATAAACTGGTGGGTAGGAAATGGCAATTAGATGGATGACCGATTAGATGAGTGAATGGAAAAAAAAATGGCAAATTAAGTCTATGGTGTGATGTGCTGCGCTTTTTGAGCCGCTCTTCTGGCTAAGAATAGTGGGCCAGAATAGCAGTTTGAATTTCTAAGTTTTCGTTTTTTGTTTCGCACTGCCTACCTTCCTTTCTTTTTGCGTTGGGTTGGATTTTTTATCGCCTTACTGCTCGCCTTGCCTCATTTTCATAGCTAAGCTTCTACGTGCTTAGTACTTCGTTGATTGATTCATATTCGGTGAAAGGCCGATTAGATGATTGAATGATTAAATGAATGCCTTTTATCGTTGGTTCCAAAGAACGGTCAGTAACTACTTTGCATGTATAAAACAAGTTTATTATAAGCAAACAATTGAGTTAATGAGTGGAGTAAATTAACTTGATCACAGTAAGGGTGGATTGGTAAACTGACGGAAGGATCAAAATGCTTGGATGAAAGAGTCAACTAATAGGTAAGGAGTGGGTGGTTTGTTCCGAATGGTCTCCCAAATCGTTTACTAATTTTCCCCTCTGATCATCTGGCTGATTGTTATGATTATATAGGCATGGAATTTCTGCATTCGCTCTGTCTTTCCTATGTCTGCTGAATCCGTAAACTTTGCTATCGTTACTTCAAAGGGATAAGTTCGCTGACATTTGGTTTAATGGGCAAATACATATGCGTATTAGCGAATGAGCGCTTGATTAGATATTGATGAATAAGTGGCCGAGTGTATCCCACGTAACCTCCAATAGCCTCTGGATTACTACACTCCGCTGGTTTTGGACGTCGAGGAGGTGCCCTTCCATGCAGCTGCTCTGGTGGTGCCTGAGATGAACCCCGATGAGGAGAAGATAATCCGTGTTAAAACCCACAATCTGCCTCTCGGTTAGTCCCACTCATACCCAGCCAATCATATTTATTGTTGGTTGTCTGTGCCTTTAGGCAGTGACATCTGTGAGACTTGCCCATATTTAAGATATGCACAAATGGATGACATATTTTCCAAGTCATTAATTTCGCCAGCGTACTTCAGGTTGATTTGTATTCCTTTGACTTAATTGTCTATATAAAATCAAAAGTGAGAAGTTAGACCTCTAGTATCACCTATTACGTGCAGCCTTTACCTGAATTACACACTACTCACTTCCACTTAATCAGGTTGCGAGCTGGACGCTCTGGCAGCAGGTGGTGTTGATGGCTGTCGAGTGGTGAAGGTTCTTCGAGGCGGAGCCGTGGAGAAGACTGCAGCTCTTGTCCCTGGCGACTACATTACTCGAATAAACTCTGACAACCTTCGTCGCGTCACGAATGCCGAGGCGTTTCGCATTCTTCGAAAGGCCTCCATGGAGTGCAACACAATTGAGCGAGTTTCTTATTCTATAGCACTGTTTTCACATCTTGGCTGTTTGAATTTGCCCTATAGGAAACATTACTAAATGTTTTAACCAACATTTTAATTCCTTCTTATGCAGGATTGGCTACTACCCTGGTGAGAGGGTGATAACTCATAGAATCAAGCACGTTCGACCCAAGTCGATGTCAGGCGAGACCGAAAGTAGTCGATACTTCCAAGTGAATGGATCCGGTGCCTCTGGCAGTTTGTGAGTTGTGTGCACTCCCCTACTTAAATCGCACTCACCAGTACTGCCTCCATCATTCCTGTCATTTGGTTGAATAAACAGGATTGAAGAGCTACAACCACCGGATCTAATTATCACAACAGAACCCTTGACTCGGCTTTTGTCGGAGGACTTCTCACAAAAATCGGGGTGGCTGCAAACACGGGAGCTTAAATTGCTCAAATTGCCTGGAGAAGACACATGGGGTCTCTCTATAACTGGTAGGGTGAAGTACATTGGAGTTATCAAAGTGCTGTTTAGGCAATATGGCCTAAATGAATGGACTTATTGTAAATTGCATTCCATACTGTGCTGTGCAATGTCGTTATCGTTCTGATTTACAAGTTTAGCAGTGTAAGCGGTTGCTTATACAAAAGCAGACTACAGAAGGTATTAAAAACTTTTTTGCAGATTGCAGCCGTAAATAAGTAGGCCTGTCTGTCCAAATATATCTATTTATTGAAATCCATTTCATTGTCGCGGTTTGGTTGTTTCTTAAGGTCCAGATGTATGGCAGAACAACGAATTGTCCTCTACAATTTCATCACTTCCGCCAGAGGTCTCCCAGCCCGTCTTCGTCTCTAACGTCGCCGCCAATACCGCAGCCGGTCGATGTGGACTACTGGAACCTGGAGATATCATAATCGGCGTGCGTTACGCAGCGAACTTTTAGTCAAAGCTTTACTTGATAAAAAATAATTCGATTCCTCTCTCTAGGTGAATGGCATGGATGCGACGCGAGTGGGATGTCGCACAGTGGCTGAATGGATCCAGACAGCTAATTTCGTATCATCGCCCTCCTCTGGGTCTTCGGAAGACAACGAGTCTTTGGAGGCCGCAGAGTGGGCCTTCCTCTATCTCCTTGTCCTTCCATTGCACTCTTCTTCGTCTTCCTCTTCTTCTCCCTCTGTCAGAAGGCCGATTGTCGATCTTCAATCCATTCCACCTGTAGCTCTGGGTACTGATTCGTCTGCTCTACCTGGAGTGAGTTTCTTGTCTATTGCCTTCGTAGGAAAGTGAATACACGCATGTTAGATGAGGGCCTAAGTTCAGAAAAAGGAAGCAAGAGTCACCATTTCCTTTACAATATGGTTGGAGTGCTAAGTACATGTCACCTCAATGCCTCTATTGAGGCACTAGGACTCATTCCCTGAAGTCGTTACGAGTCTGAAAGTATCTTCGATTTCAGAGGTATGTAGCATAGAGGTTCGTGTACCTGTGATGTGTTGTCATTGGCAGACAACCTTTTTTCTTACTGTGCACTCAGATATACTGAAACTGATTGTATCGCATACAGATTTTTGTACATAATTCATGTATTTAATTGCTTTTGAAGTAATGTATGCTCTTTGTCTCCTTTTTTCATCGATAGCAGGATAGGGATGGACGTCCTCTTAGTTTCATTTGCAACTCCAGCACTCTTGTGCGCTCCGCTTTTGTCTCTTCCAACGACTCCTCCATGGAAGAACCCACTTCCGTAGTGAGTATCCTTCTTCGCTTTCCTCTTCTCTAAACTACTATCCTTATAAGAACATGTTTCCTTGTTGTAATTGGTTTCTTAAAGACTCATTGTTCTTTTGAAATCGGCTTGAGTCACTCCTGTTTACTCAAATTCTACGACTTGGATTTGCTCAATCATCACGACTTTAAAGCGAGTAAATTTTTAAACTCTTGGACGACTTTGCAGTTTAAACATCCAGAGGTGGACTTGAAATGATCTGCGTCGTTATTGTGGCCATTTGGGTCTGACAGGTTGAAGTAAATACATAATTGTTGTCACTTTGAGTATGAAAAAGTTGTAACAGTAGGGTCTTAACTCCACTCACAAGGGCGTGGAATTCGGGACGAGACTCACCCGAAATACAGCAAACCAAAAAGCAGGATTATGAAGTGTTTAAACGTCTTTTAGTGTCGTTGATTTCTTTTCACAAACAGGCATCATTGGAACTTCACGGGTATCTTCCTGAGCCATTGGGAATCTCCAATCTCGCCATCTCACCACCAGCAGCTCCGGTACAGATGCCATCGCTGCCACCACCACCGCCACTTCCATCGAAGGATGGAGAAGAGATCCCAACAGACTCCCAGTTACCACCACCACCACCACCACCACCAGCAGTGGCAATCTCTGACGTGCCGCCTCCTCCACCTCCACCGTCGCCGGTGTTGCAACAGCCTATTCCCTCTGTTCAGACAGTCGAGTCCCAGTCAGCGTGGCGCAATCTTGGGTCGTCTTGTCTTAGTGCCTCGTTGGGTGAGTTCTTATTGACATTTCATTTTGAAAAAGTTAAATGTTCCTGTAAATTTGATTGGTGAGATTGCTTGTTTGTGGCTTAAAATAGCATTGGAAATAACTTCAACACCTTCGTCTATCCTATTTGAGTCCCACTGTTATTTCTGTGGTAGCTGTTGTCTGCTTGATTGCGGTTTGTGAGCGACACTATAACTTTCTGTCTACAGCTCAACTGACACAAACTTATCGTAGACCGACCCTGTCTGACGACGAAATCCATGTTGTTGCGATAACTTTGCCTCCTTCAACTTCCACATCTGGAGGTGAAGGGGCTTCTGGCAACGAGTCAATCGAGGGATCATCCTCTGACTGTGAGACGGGCCTCGGGGTTCGTCTGGTTGGTCACAGGGACACTAATTCTCGGGGCGTTTTCGTCTGTAGCTTACGTGAGGGTTCAATAGCTGATCGCACGTCTGGCCTACAAGTTACTGACGAAATAGTTCAAGTGAGTAACTTAACTATGCTACTGCTGTTTACTTAACATTTACAAACAGTTTGTGAACGCTTTCTTGTACTTTCGGTTAAGTGGACTAGACTATTCGGTTATTGGTTGGAACGTAACCCAGAGTACCTTTGCTTGGTTTTGGCTTAAAAAAACTGTTCGAGTAACAAATTTACTGTTTCCGCCTGTCTCCTTCACCAGGTAAACAATGTTTGCGTGATGGGACTGACTCACGTCTCGGCAAAACTTCTGATCGCTAAAGAAGCTGAGCTGGCTCGACGCGGTGGTAGTGATGGCGGTAATAACGAAGCAAAGATATTTCTTGTCATTCGTCACAATGTTGCCTACAACGCCTCGGTGATGGCCAAACCTGCTTCTGGCACCGCTCCCACCGGTTGTGGACACTTTCTTCATCACTCTGCACTTCGTTCTGCCTCCCAGGTATTGGTGGTAGTAATTTATGCTTCAAATGAAGTTACTGGTTAGGACTACTTAAATTTGGGCTTACGAATCATAGCTAGGGATTGATTTGTCTCATTGGCCATTCCTGTTTATTTACTGCTTAAGCAGCGTTTGCTTTAAAGTTGTATTTGATAAGGAACTAACAGTCTACTCGCAAATTACCTAATTATATAGTCTTTCCTTTTATCAATACCAATTCGCATTTTTCATCTCACAGCCCTGCATGGCCAAGGCAACACCTCAGTCATCCAAACGCACTGAGTACGAATTTCTGGACGTCACCATCGAAAGAGTAAGTCCATAGTTTCTTTGTATTCCCTCTCCATCTCCTCCTTCTCTTAGAATGCTCAGGGTGGTCTGGGTCTCTTCTTGGTGAATATGAACCCTCGTGGCGATCTGGGTGTCTTTGTGCAAAGTTTGCTGCCTACCAGTCCGGCCGGTATGGTACGTTGAACATAATTGACAGATTTTTGGCGATCACCTCATCACCTCCCTGAGCTTTTCCGTCTTTGTTGAGTTGCCATTGTTAAACTGGAAGTGGCAAGATTGAAGGGAAAAAGATACAGTAAATAAGACAGAACTTCGTACTCCGTCATGAATGTTGTTTCTTCTCATGTAATGGATTATGTTTAGTCTGTGCATTTCATTTTTTTTGTTTATAATGGATGTATGTTTACTGAAGCTAGTTGTATTTCAGCATCCCATCAACTACTGAAATACCTCCACTGACGTTGAGCTCTAGCCAATTTGTAGTTTTAATATTGTTGTTTATGCTGAAAATTTAACTGCCTTTATGATACAAATACGCCTACAAGTGCCCGAGTTACTAATTCATTTGCGTATTTGGTGCTACATTCAACCAATATAGGGGCGATTTATTCATCAACCCGAGTATTGGAGTACCTGGACCTCGGACTTGGCATTAATAGTATTCGAGAAAAGAGTTTAGCTGTAAGCATCCCCTCATCTTGCATGATCAGGCAGTAGTCTCGATTACAACACAGTTGTAAAGCCACCTCGTTGATAGATACCTGGTTCCATTTCGCCTAGCCAAATTCTTTTGGCACAAATTGGGACTTGAATCTTGTTGTTGTTGACAACAACAGCATTTATGAGATAGACTTTATTTTTGATGTACACAGGTTAGGTGGTATAGCACGAGGTACGTGATTACCTGCTGAATTCTAGCGGCACAGTCCCAGTGTCACGCTCTTGATTACCACATGTAAATTCCATCCTCATGCAATATTTTAAAGCCAGAAGTTATTTTATGCGAGCCAAGATTTCGAGACATTTAGGGTATTTGAGAAACATGCATGAAAAACTGCAATTCAGCTACTAATTAAAGGTACTGACTCTATCCCTCTGATCCTTTGGATGTGCATAGTCGGGCCAGGTTCGAAGTTGGGATCGCATTGTGGCGATTGACGGAGAGCCGGTGCAGGAGTACGATGCCGCCTTGGCCAAGCTTACCACCTGTCATCCATTCGCTAATCTGAGATTGGCTCGCGCAAAACCATTATCCGGCTGTGCAGCAATGACTGGGGGATCATCCGGTCAGCTCGCCTTGACGACAATTGATTTGCCACGCTCCTTTTCACCTCACTCCCCACCCACACCTATTTTGCCTGGAGTGGAGACTACGGTGGAGATTATTCATTCCTCGTCTGACCTCGGGTTCTCTGTGGTTGGAGGCTCTGACACCCAGATGGTGTGTTTGCTTGAACCGACATTTTAGCACTATCATTTTCTGCTTCTATTTATTCGGCGGTGGAAATAAGATTAATGATCGTTTATTTTGCTTTTTGTAGGGAGGCATTTTCATTGAGAAGATTCATCAAGGTGGAACAGTTTATCGCGACGGGCGATTGCGTGCGGGTGATCGAATCCTTGCGGTGAATGACACAGATCTACGTAGAGCAACTCACGCTGTCGCTACAAAGGTGCGTCTCATTCAAGAACTATTGTCTACCTTTAATTACTAATGTACATTTGTCGCCTTTTACAACAGGCTCTACGAGAGGCAAAGCAGCATCTATTTCTGACGGTCCTGCGAGGCAGTGGAGCAATTCCTTTCTCACTCAACGAAATTATGCAGACGTACAGCGTGGCGCTTCAGAAACAGCCGGGGTCTACATTCGGTATCGTGCCTGTTGACTATCATTCCGGAGGTGTGATCATTTCGGAGATTGTGCGTTGATAGCGTACTCTTGAGTTGACTGAGCACGCGCCTTCTGCATGCCTCTTCTCCCCCTTGATTTTTTAGGTGGCTGGCAGTCCAGCATCGCATGCGAGTGTGCTGCATCCTGGCGATGTGATCCTAGAAGTCGATGGTTTAGATGTACACAAAGCCTCCTCGCAGGATGTTATAGCACTTCTCAAGGTAGTAATCCTTTGTTTGGGTCCGACCTTTTGCTCCACTTTGGTCCTGCCCTAGTTTTACAATATTTATCGCATTTTGTGCCTTCTTAATGAGAATGGAATGGTAATTTTGCGGTGTGTTTGGTGTCCAAACCTTCACTTCCATTTTAGCCTAGATTTGTCTGTAAAATGGACGTCCTTTTGAAATAATGACCTCCGATAATATTGTTTTTTAGTTCTTGAGTTTGCTGTTTTGTTGTACTACTTATTCTGAAGATTGCTATTGTAGACTCATAGCTATGCGTTTTTGTTTTATTTTTTTCTTGTCAGCAATCATCGAATCACATTCTCCTCAAAACGGGTCGTCTAAAACCACCCAGAGGACAGCCAAGTAATACATTCCTTTTTTACCCTTTATTCTTTACCTTTTCAAATGTGCTCTTGCCATTTAAGAGGACTTTATGCTACGACTTAGTTGATACATTTTTTGAGTTTCCTTAGGCCTCACTTTACTTACCTCCAGAATAATCCAAACTTTTTATGTCCCCTCCACCATCACCTGACAGAGAAATCCCAATAATGCGGCTGCCCTTGCATGAGATTTACCTTCTTCTTTGCCAACTTCTTTTGTACAAAAAGAGGTGTGTGTGTGTGTGTGCGTGCGCATGTCTTTCCATTTACCTGTAAATCTCCCTCCTCCTTTCCTGTTCCTCTTTCTTTCTCTGTCTCCCGTTGGCATCCAATTCTCTCATTCAACGTGGCTGGTTACGTAAGTTTATGCGACAATAGAAAAGGCTTATACGAATTAGCATGTCTAGTGCGGTGTCAACTTGTGCCATGGCATGTCATTTTGACCATCACCGCACTCAGAAGCCTGTCGAGTGAAAGTAATTACTGTCGTTGCGCTTTGTTCTTGCGAAAAGGTCACCGTCAACTATTTATTGTAGGTATCATCCAAATGCATTTGTTACTCAGCCTTCACCATGCCACTTCCCTAGATTCATTCTTTCCGCTTTTTAATGGGAAGACTAATTTATTGTTAATGCTGTTATTATTAGTAGTTTTATTATTGCTTTTATAATTATTTACGCATGCCCACAATCACAATGTTGGCATGTATCTTGCGGCAAGGTTCATGTTGTTATTTGTTGTCGTTATTTTATCTACTCGCAGCACCGTTTCTTAACAGAAAAGTAGTTATTACTTCTTCTTCCTCATCGCTCACGTAGTGCCTCGACTGAGACTATTCACAGTCCTACTCACTCGTCCCCTCATGGCTCCGTCACAGCAGAAGGACCTCGACGTCTCCATCTCCGCTCCCGTTCTGAAGCAAAAAGCAGTGCCAAGTGAATTGCACAGTACACTTCCAAACGTCTTTGGGATGGTTCTAAGATCCACCACAACTGGCGAGAGCATATACGCGCCTGGAAATCTCGTCATTGAAAGCATTACACCCGGCTCCGCTGCCTCCCGCTGTGGCATGCTCCAGGTCTGCAGAGCAATTATTTACTTACCTATTATTTGGAATCATCACTCATTCACGGCAGAATTCGACTCTACCAAATTTTTCTGCACAATAAACACTAGTGACAAGGCTTTCCATTGAGATGGGACCCTGGACTAGGATAACGAATTTTGTATTGGCGGTCTCAGAACTGCTGTACTTTTCCATTGAAGTCAACTGGCTTCCTTTCAATACCTCTGCTACTCCTTTATTTTTGGTGTCACTAAGGTCCATCAAATTATGTATTTTTTATATTTCATTTCGTCACGTTCCGACTAGATATCTACTATTTTCAGTACATTTTTCCATCGGCAGTACTGAATTATTGCTCCTGCCTAGACTCATAATCAGAAGAAATTTTCAGATTGGAGACCGCCTTTTGGGCATTGACCGCGAACCAGTGGGATGGTTGTCCCTCGACGATCTTCAGCGTTTCTCTTCCCACTTTGATACCCTCACCTTCGAGGTTGGTCGTCTTCCACCACCACCACCACCAACACCACCACCACCCTCTTCATCAGCAATACGTGCATCAGCAAGTATCTCGTCTCTGCCATCTTCTCAACCACCGCTCTTTAGTGGCGGATTGGCACCACTCAACGAGGATGAAGAGGTGACGGCGGTAACCATGAAACCTGTTCCCGTTGAAGTAGAGGGCGGTGGCGTTCAGAAAATCGGGGAAGGTCCTCCGCCGGTGAGACGCTCTCCAGTCGGGTTCAAGGCAGTCAAGGATGGCGATGATGATGACGAGGATGAGGATGAAATGTACTCCAATATTAGAATCCAACAGGTTTGTAGCACCATGTTTGTCTGCAAGGCTTATCAATAATGTAGCCTCTGGCTAATTTACTTAAATTTACTAACTTGTGGCATGTAGAGCTCCTTCTAGACCGTTATAATTTGGTCTGCCCATCTTCGAATTCAGTAATATGTGCTGCATCTTTACTTAACGTTGAGTCATACGTAGCCATAAGCAGTGGCATCTTTTCTACCCATGCAGATACAATTGCTACCCCCACCAGTTGACTCGGTGCAGCCGAGTCTCGGCTTAACTCTGGCATCATCCCGTGGCGCATGTGGGGGTCAACGAGTGGTGAGCGTAGATCCTGCCTCTCCGGCCGCTGTCTCCGGACTTCAGGTTGGTGACCGCATCATCGGATTGGATGATCGTCTCCTTCTCGCCCTCGGCGGTAGCAGTCGAAACTCCGATTCTGCCCTGCAGGCAATCGAATCAGCTTGGCATCTTCGTCGTCCTCCCTCCGATATCCCTCCTCTTACTCTCACAATCGTTCGACCCACTCCTCTGCCTCTCAATCCATCCATTCCTGTTAGCACCAAACGGAGAGGTCACTTCCCAGCCTTCCCCGCAGTTGTTGGTGCCACTGCTGCAGGAGTGGGTCTTATGGCAGGGCCTCGCATTCGCAACGAACCCACTCGTCGTCTTCCTCGTGGTACGCACTCATTCAAAAATTATATTTACTATTGCCAAATAAAGTAGGCGTTATTTTACAAGAGATTTGCCACCCACAGATGTTGGAGACAACCTGGATGTGCAGTTGCAAGCTGGTCCGCCGGGCCTCCTTGTCCCAACCATCGCAGCTGGGTTGGCCACTGGGGTTTATCGCGGTGCTGTGGACGACTATCTCGGACAGCCCTACTATAACAATGGCCCGACCATCATAGATTCGCCTCCCTTGATTCCAAGTGGAACAAGTGGTCAGATTTACAGAGATGCTGATGATGCTGTTGAAGGCGCTGATGTCTTCGCAGACGGTGATGACGAAGGAGTTCATTATTCGGAAGAGAATTACGACAATAACGATACACTTGGAGACGGTGAGTAACCTTCCATTTGCTGGTTGTTAATCTTTCGGTTTTGATTCGGCGCACAAAAACTTGCACCACCACAGGCGGTCGTGGTGCGAGTAAAGGGCCCCTGAAGGCGGGGTCGAGTCCAACCTCACACATTGTCATCAATAGTGATGATGACGATTTTGTTGAGGGTGAATATTTTTATGACGACCCCGTCAACCATTGCGGTCATGGAAAGCGACGTGCTGACGACAATGATATTTGCGTTGTCAGCGGTGAGTGTTGCCGTGAGAGTTTAGGCTAAGTGTTGCTGCACTGCTCTACTGCTTTGTGATTGGTCAGCTTGCGGTTCATGTTTGTCTATGCATGTCTTCGTTTTGTTTGCGCACACTCAAGTAGATGGCTGTCTTTGTCGTCGTGAGGGTTCTTTCTTTTTTAAAAGTCCTTTTGTTACCAATTCAATAACTCTCAAATCATACTTCTATGTTCACGTTCCGATATATAGACCAACGACTTCTGAACTGGATTAGATAAACTAAGGTGCTACTTCCATTACAAACCACGATTCTGTATTTTTAGTTTTTTTGTTTGTACTGTACCATGCACTTTGTGACGGATCTAAAAAACACTTGAATAGGTTAATTTATGATAACTGTCCCTTTACCGTAAGTAGTTGAAGTAGTCTCCTTGGCACTGTATTTCCCCTTGCCGCTCGTCTTGATCACCGTCCACTTCTGCATGATCCTAGTAATGACTTACATTCGTTTGTAGCATATGTATATGTATATACGCACAAATTACTTGCCAGTGGCTGCTTCAAATAGCCCATCAAAGAAATTGTTCTATTTATTTGTGAAAAGAGAGAACTACCTTTGGAATTGAACTATCTGCGGGCCTTTTAAGAGACAAAGTTGAATTCACTGCCCCCTTTACAGGCACTAATCTAGTTGTCAGACCGACAGAATCATTGAATCTTGATTCGCCCACCTCCTGTGAAAACCCACCCAATGGAGACGCCGAGGATAGTAATAATCTCGGTGACATATTTGTGGATGGCGAGTACTTCTACGGAGGTCCAATGAGTGGCTTTGACAAAGTTGACCTAGTTTTTTATTTGGGTGGTGAGTCTTCGCGTGTAGGTTACTAACATTCCAGTCAGCATCACCTCCAGTAAATTGCTGTGCCCCCGTCTAGACAACTAGTACCCGTTTTCAGCAGCACTTACTTTCAACATTACCAAGTGGTGCTGAAAGTAGTAGTAGTTCTTTACAATGTTTTTTTGTTAGTTCGTGTATCACCGCCTCGAGGTTAGCCACTCTAATCTGCACCCCACCTCCCTATTAAAAGCAATAAAAGTGGATCAAAATGCATTTTTGCAGATGCCTATGGTGCAGAATCAATCGAGGTGCCAGACCATCTCTAGCTGATGCAAGTGTTTATGGTGGACAGAGCGGAATAATAGAACAAAATCATCTGATCAGATGCCTTCTTTATGACCTCAATTACTCACCATTTACTGATTTGTCCCTTGACCGCTAACGAGCCATTCGTCCATTCTTTCTGATGAAACCCTTGTATCATAGCCTTGCTGTATCCCCTATGAATGATTATGTGGTATGTGAATTAAACCCCTTGCATATTTTGAATGTTCATTCCTTTTATCGTTTAAAGTGTGGACCCTTGGTTATACTCGGTCGAACGCAGCTGACAAGTGGATTTGTGATTGTGCCTCTCCCAAGTACAAACGGCTATCGACAGACTAGTGGAGTCAATAAGGGACTGTGTTCATGACGAGGGTATTTACACAATACTTTGTAATACTGCTGATAGTAATTTGCAAATTTTCGGGCCTACCACTCACCCGAAGGCAGTCCCAAATATCGTTTTGGCGAAGGTGTTACGTGAAGTGAAGGTCGTTCCCGACACTATGATAGCCGGTTATCTCTGGAGTCCAGGATAGCTTAATTTGGCCACGATTTCTGCGATCACAGAGTCAATTAATTCTTTGCGGTTAGTGCAATCAGAGCCTCGCAGTACTCAGTTGCTCAATTTAGGCTCAGTTCATTAGTAAATTTGTTAGTGGTTTGCAATTTAAATTGATAACAGCGAAGTGATACGCAAGAGTGAAAACAACACAATTTCATGATGCTTTCGGTACCTTCGATCCACTATATCTAACTGCGAAACCAAAAAATAAACACCTACATGTAATGGCCACACTAGTTCATTTCATTTCCATCAGGAGTGATAAAACTGACTTGAAAAAATAGGAGTGGGCTAACATTGCATTATCCTATAAGTACGCTTAGTGCTAAACCGATTGAACTCCATCCCCAAAAGGAAATGTCAAGGACTGATAGTTTTGCCACTCATCGAAGTTGATGAACGAGATCATCCAGCGATACGAAGCGGAAATTCCCCATCAAGACTAAAGGGCTATCAATGGGAGAATGAAGCCCATAGAGCATAGGATCGGCTTATAATAGAGGAGAACCCGACATCGAGAGAGGCTGAACTTAGTAACGGACACACAGGGCATGTACACGGGGGAAACAGCAACGACCTCTTTTTAAAGTAGGACAACGGTAGCAGCTCTATTCGGCTGAACTGAGCGTTTCACCACCACCGTCGCCGTTCTGCGGTGAGGTTTCGATTCGCGCCTTCTTAGGCACCGGCGAGAGAGCTGGTGAGGGAGGAGTTGCCGAGGGGACACAGTAAACGCCGTCACCTGATCCGCCGCTACCATTGACAACTGGAATTGGCGATGACTGAGTAGAACCGCTTTTCAGCTCTTCTGACCTTCCTTCTTCCTTTTCCGCACCCTCCTCGATGGACTCCACTGCTTCCCTCACCTCTATGTTCTCAACCTCTTCCGACTCACTTTCATCCTCAGTAGCATCAAGCGTTACACGGGTGCGTGTTGTGGCTCGTTTAGCGAGTTCAGACAAATTGTCGAAGCGAAGGATGATGCAGGTCATGTTGTCACAGCCCGTTCCATCACCCATGGTGTTGGAGGCGAGACAGGTGTCAAAGAGCTTCAAGGATAAACAGTGGGATGAATATCCACGCCAAGCAAACTAAATGGGCAACTGGGGTAGAGATTTCAGTGTAAACATTCCAGAGGTCAGAGACAACGCGAAAAACAACTTTCCCCAATCAGCTGTGAATGAATGCTGGTATTTCCAAAAAACGGTTCCAGGCCGGCAAAATATCATGCATTAAGAGATAAATGACATCGACATAGACAAACCTAAAAAGCCTAACAGACGGCATTTATTCATTATGTAAGAAAATGTGCCAGAGAAATATTACAGGATGAAAGAGATGGAGATGGAAATTTAAAATCGTAAAAACATATATATTTGGAAAATCTTGATTACATTTAATTAAAGATCATCTGTTGCATCTGACATGCGCTGGGCTATTCGAATGAACCAATTTACTAAGATCGCAACGTTAAAGGGAAGTAGAAGTAAACAGACAAAATTTACCAATACAGCATCATAACTACAAAGATTACCAAAGGGGAGAATTGCCACTGTTTAGAGGTAAAAAAACTAAGACAGTGTAGGCGGATTCAAGAATACACCAGGGCATTACCAAGCAGACATCAAGGAGAGTCGCCATTAAATTACCAATGAGTGATGGCTTTTCTTAAACGCAGCAAACGGAGCTCCACCATAAAGTGAATAGCGTACTTGTACAAAAAGCTCAATTATTTATAAGTGGAGTGACTCATTACAAACACAGGACCTCCAAAAAAAGCAGTCGCTCCATTGCAAAGAAGACGGGAGTGAGCATTCTAGTTGCAAGAAATGGGTGCCGGTGACTCACCTCCTCACAGATTTTGGCCAGGAAGGCTGGCGAAGAGCGATCAATGGGCGCTGTTCTCTCCTCATTCTCCGCCTTTTCTGTAGTGATGGCGGTGGCAGTTTCACTGTCTCCATTGGAAGTTGGTAGGACCGAGGCAAATTCGGGATGGAGACGATCGTAGACGAAATCTACCACAGCCTGACTATTCATAGCATTCCAAATGCCATCGCAAGCGATCACTACGAACTCGTCAGCACCAGGAATCAACTCTGTCCGTGACACGTCCGGCAGAGCTGAGATCATCTGCTCAGACATCTTCAAATCGGTTCGACACTAAACACGGATGTCAAGACCGCATGACAGAAAGGGTTTGAGAGAAAGCACCTCGAAGGTACTGATTGCACCAAGGGACATATTAAGTCAAATTAATTGGGCAAAACATTGACAGTCGAGGTGAATCACACTTTTATCAATCAGTAAACGGGTATGCCGATTTAATTTAGTGCCGGAACGACCAGTTCCAAGGCCATGAAAAACAAAAATGCATTAGACTTCGCAGTCACACTTCATTCAACGATTTCGAGTTCAATGGCGGCATCTAATTCGAATATCCACACCACATCTGAACACTAATTCTGTGAAATTAAATCGACATTATGCTCGCAATGGAGGCAATTCAACAATGGATTACGTTATTCCAGCATCTATTAATGGATCACCATTTCCAATCTCGAGTAATGAATGCACCAGTGAAATTAAAACCAATTCAATGACAAAGTTAACTTCAATTATTGAACAGAAATCTAATTTTCAGTTCAGTAAATATGGATAAATTCAACCTAAGTTGGAACTCATGAACAATGCACAGCAATACAATTCTTCAACACCAAGTTCATAAAAGATCATAGGACGACAAAATGCATTCATTACACATGAATGGATCAAAATGAATGGATGGTACGGCTATCGAGGCTGATGAACGAGACAAGGATAGGAGGAGTCAAGCGCAAAGAAATGACCTACTTCTAGAAAGGAACATATCAGCAAACCACAAATGATTAACCTAATTGTAACTGAGTTAATACTAATCTCGCCTAGATTTATTGAAGTATCTGGACGGACACCATACTCCAGTGATTTCCAATAATGCTAGGTGGAAACGCATAACTACACACTTCTTAGTACTAGTATTTGTCTCAATGAATAAGCAGCACAGGAGAAGTTAACACACATTGGTACGGCAAACAAAATCGTAGAGTAGATGAGAATTCAAAGCTGTCAGTCAAGTGTCACTACAAATAGCAAATGGAGGCAAATTTTAGAAATAAGAGCAACAGGCAATAAATGAGAGCACCACAAATTAAGTACAATGGCCAGATAAAACTTTCGACAAGTAGAAGTAACCGATCTACCAACCAGTTGTTGTTCGCGCAATGAACTACCAATGAGGAAATAAGCCTCACCTTGTAGATATGATCGCCAATAGCGCGGCTGAGGTTTAGGCCATCGTTGACGCGTCCGTCTGCAGTGACAGTGCCACCAGCAGCCTGAATCCGCGCCTTTTCGGACGGATCCTCAGGTTTGTGATCTTCGGAAAGGTCTACGGCAGCACCTGCGCGACAAAGAACGGCCCGCGAGTCACCTGCGTTAGCAACGTAAAGGCAAACTCTCGGCTGCTGTTCCTCGTCAGTTTGGTCACCCAATTCGGGTAGGACCAACGCCACACACGCCGTCGATCCACTGTCCACGCCGGGTTCTGTGAACCCAACCGGTCGTGGAAGCACACCGATCAAATTACCCTCTTCATCTTCCTCTTCCTCTTCTTCCTCATCCTCATCCTCATCCTCATCATCCCCATCATCTTCTTCATCGTACTCACCGTAGTCAACTTCCTCTCCTTCCTCGTCGTCTTCTTCCTCATCTTCATCTCCGACTTCAAAGTCCTAAAAAAGGGCAGAGATGACGCAAGAACTTTAAGTAAATGAAGTTCATGAAGCAACGAGGAACGTACTTCGTCATCTTCATCATCTTCATCTCCCTCTTCGTTGACAACGTTTTCACTGACAGTGGCAGAGAGATTGGGCGCATCCCTTTCTCCAGCCTCTTTCACCTCTTCCTCCTCACATTTCTCCTTTTCACCGAGAGGGGCAGTGGATCCCTCCTCTGAGGTCGTCGCACGAAGACTTAACTTTATCTCTTCGTCCTTCGCTAGAAGGGTGGTAGAAATAAAATATCTTAAGACAACGCCATCAGCAAGGCTTATCTTTGAGCGCAACGAAAAGAACAAGATGTAGGCCAGTCGAATAAGAGTACTCAGAATTACACTCAGCTTCCGATTACAAAAAAACACGGATTCAATCAAAAGCAGGTATAATTAAAGATACAGTCAAGAAAGATTAATTGATTTCAATAATGTTGTTAAAACAACTTGGCATTGTATAAAGCAAAGTAAATTTTGCTCTATTAAACGCTTCATTCACGCGTTAAGGTCAAATTCTGAGGTGAAAATGAAGTTTAGGACAAATTAACTACTGAACAAGTGTAAAGGGCTAATATGGTCGACAAACCAACTTAAGTGTTAAAATCAAACCGGAACGCAAAGACCGAAAGTTGATAGCACAGAAAATCATTAGAAATACTGAAAGCGAACGAATGGAAGGAGGATTGCGATCAACTCATAAAATAATCGAAGGCCAGAAGGCACAAGCAAGCAATATGCGCCTTAAGATCCAAAAGAAGCGACAGAAAAAGGGTCGTCAGATGTATGATCTCTTTTGGTAGAAAAACGAAAAAAATATGCAAAGCAAATGAACCCTGTGAAGCCTAACAGTAAAGTCGAATGTTCGACTTTGGAGAAGGACCTAGCGTAGGAGTGAGATGATTAACAAGAGATCAAAAGGTGGAGTTTGGAAGGTCAATGACATATGTAAATGAAACGTAAATACCAAAACGCACCTTTTGTATTAGGAGAAGCTTTACTATCAGTGGCAAGGTCGTCAGAGGTATTGACAGACGTGGAGGGACCAGAGGTGTCAGCATCACCGGGTTTTGAACATATGCTGGCCAACAAGGTCTGGAAGTTTCAAAACACCGTCGAAGAGCCGTCCTTTACACCCAGTAGATGGAAAAATAAGCTGACAGATAAAGCTGCTAACCTGAATAAAATCTGGTAATTCGCCTCTAAACTGCTTCCGTAGCACAGCCTCAATCGGCCGCGCCGCTTCCTCATGCAGCTCTGAGATTTCTTCAACACCCTCCTCGGTGTGAGATAGAGGCGCTAGGTCGTCATCGCCATCAACACTTTTTTTGGCTTCTTTCACTCTTCCCTTCCGCTTGTTTTTCTTCCCATCTTCATTCACTTCATTTTCCTCCGCGTCAGAATTATGGGGCGAGAGTTCAACGGTATCGGCGTCAGCCTCCGGACTAGCAATCTCCTTCAACTCCGATTTGACCTGAATTGAGTAACAAACCAGCAGTTGCATAGGCAGAGTACCAAATACGGGATAAAACCGACGTTAGACCGCTACTCAACCCACCTTTGCGCGTGTAAGTGAGACGTCAAAGTCGATAAATGCCTTTTTCAAGATGCTGACAGGATCGATGGGCCCATCTTCTGCAGCATAACGTGGTTGGGAAAGAATGAAATCAGGCAAATGCAAGGAACAATATTTGGCGACTTCTGAACCTCCATGACCATCGTAGACTGCAAAGAAAGCAGCCGTTTTCTTGGGATCGAACTCCAAGATGCAGTTGTGTGCGTCCTTCGTAAACCAGAACCAATTAACACGATGACTTTTAAGTTTTCAAACAGGATGCTAGCTAACTTTGCATTTTCCGATAAACTACACCAACTAAGGTCTTTAAGAACTGTTAAAATTTGGGACGTATAGAGAAGTGCATTTCTAATTCCGCCCACTACGAATTAGGTGAGAAGCAATTAGTAAGCACAGCATGAGGAGAACCAACTTACTTCCTGAAAACGCCTCCATCCCTGCATGGAGGAACAGCCATAGGAAATCCATTCATTAGAGTCTGACGACGTCTCTTTCGCCGTCTCGGGCTTTGACAGATAAGCACCCATTTTCCTGATTGTTCGAAACAGGCGCAAAGCAGGCAGACATAAACAAATTTTGAAAATTATGTAGAAGTTATATTCTATGACTTTTAAACTTAAAATTTTTTCGACTTAATGGAGAGAGCCTATAGATTCGGTGCTTTAATTGGATAAAAATTTGATATCCTTAAGTTAACATTAAGATTACCATTAATATAGTATGTAACAACGAACCATGAAATCCGAGCAGTTAGCTATAAATTATTTACATTTACTCCACGTATCTATAGCTCTTATTAATCCTGTTCAGATTTTAGAATGTTTTACGGTATTTGTCCACGATTCTGACCAATCAGATAGGAGGTATTTACCGTCACGAGCCTCCGCTCGTGTGATAGGAGTTCGATAGCTGTGCCGGAGTTTAGCGACGCATTCTCCCATTCGGCGCGGAGATTAGAGCCTGGGTGACGACTGTGACATTTTCGGGATATACAACAGCTGAAATGCATGTTGCTGTTGCTGGCTATCGAACGTCCCGGCATACACCAGACGATTCGCGGACACCACGTTGTACGGGTTACGCATACCTCTGCTCATGACAATAATCGCCCAAAAATATCTCCGCGCCCCTCACCTGTTTGGTATTTCCCAGCAAATATGCATGCTCTTCCCGTCCTGCTAGCGTAGTCTCGTACTCAATGAGAGGACAAATCAGTGTGCATGCACGATGACAAACCCAAAAAAACTTGAGTTTAAATCTGCAATGAATGCTTTCTCATTGTGTTCGTCCAGATATGCACAATCAACCGGCGGCGCCGCTGATCGCATCGCAGAATGAAACAGACTCGTGTCGATTTGCCTATCCCTACTCAGCCAGTTTATTCCAACCCCATTTCCGCCTCCTCTCAGGATGCAATTCACTTAAGTATCGACCATACCGCTCGAACACCGGTGATTTATCCATTTAACCGTCACAAACAAACAAGAGATTAAAATGAGGCTGGAAATTAAAAAAGTGCCAGATCACAGAAATACAGGGAGAGAGGAAGTACGACGGAGAGGTCGCAGAAAATGGTGACACCAACGGCGCTATTCCATGGGAAAGAGGGGATTATTAACAAATTCTTGTCCCCTAGAGAGGATGTTGGTCACAGAAAATGCCGAAGCTAGACCCCAGAATGCGAAGTACGTCAGCCGATGGGTAAGATCAACTGAAAAGAGAAGCTTTTTGGACATTGACGTCAAGTTCGAATGGGGAAGTTAGGATCAAATTAAAAAGGCGCTATACTATTCTATATTAAAGGGTAACCCACCGTCAGCAAGAGCAGAACTCACCAGATGGGAAAAGCAGGCAGAGGACTGACATTGAGATGGAGAAGGCGAGGAAGAAGGGCAAAAAACGGCGTCGGATGCTCTGCCTCTCACCCGTTGGCAACGGCAGTTTTGCCCGCCCGGTAACCGGGTCAAAAACCTCGTATTTGCCCAGGAAGAGGTTAAAGGCGTCCTGCCGAAAACCATCGGCAAAGTTATTGAGGAAATAGCGCACCAACGAGTTGTAGCCGTCGGTTAGCATTCCCTTGAAGGTGCGCTTACCTACCGGAAAGAAAAATCACAATCTTTACCACGGAGGTCAACTAGCAGGATTTAATGCTGCTTTGTATATTTGCTAAGGAGTTTGTATATTCAATTAGTACTCTTGTGTCTCTCCATCGATAACCGGTAGTACCGTCATTGCTTCAAGCGATAGTTATTGCACGAAAATGTCAGTATACAAAGGAAGAGTGTAAAGGAATCAATGTGAGTGCAGTCCCGTTCACGCGATTCCCCGAATTTTGGTTCGAACTCGTTCATCTCAAGTGCGTGGCGCGCGCTCTCCGCCGGCGGCGCCAAATTGTTCGTCATGGCAGAACGGTTGAGCTCAAAACGGTAGAAATATCAATGATAATTTCCTCAAATGCTAACATTCTGTTTGTAAGCGGCAGCTGAAAGAGTCAGCTAGGCTGGTGTCCACGTGCCAGTCATCGGACAGACACGATAACAGCCCGCATCGAGAACCAAAGGATGCAATTCTGTTAGCGTTATGAAACTAAAAACAGATTAGTGAAGTGGGAGAGGTGAAGAAGTGCAACCAGAATATCTGCCGAAATTGTGATATTAAGTGAATACCTTCCAACACAAGGCACTTCACACATGTGAAGATTTCATCACCTGCCAAAGATTCGTGTAAGCGTGAAATTCCTCATGTGTTCGGAAGGCAATTGCCCAACTGATGACAACGCGACGATTTCATGAACTCATGAACAGAGAATGTCCTTCCTTTTGCCAAGTTTTAAGTGAATGATCACATAGAGATGAAGAAATGCTCTCAACCTACACATCAGGTACCCGTAAATTGCAAAAGTCCATGGGGATTTAGGTACAACTCTGCACAATAAGGTCTACCATGCGTGACACTCCCGACACTGCTGTTAAGCCGTAATGGATAAGAGGCTCACGAGTGGGAGCTGAACTCGCTTGTGTGTACCTCCTGGCTGAACAACAAAGACGGGGTGATTCCAATACGTGATTGCTCCTAAAAACGGCTGAATTCGAGCAACTTTGTCCCAGATTTAAAATAACGTGGATTGTGACTTGTTTATACTTTACCTCCTTTACCATAATTACCAATGGAGACAGTATGAGGCCCAAAACGAGATATCCCTTGAAAAAAAAATAAAACAGCAAGGATAGCTTGCAAATAGAGTGGGGATGCCAGAGAACACAATCCACCAACAAAAATAATTGACTAAGTCTCTAGAAGCTTTATCATTCTAAGAGGATGATAAAGAAAGCTTCTTCATGAATGAATCATGAAAAGCCGGAGAATTCCAATGATTTTAACCAGTTCAACTGTTCTTGAGTCTAGCACCGCTAACACTTGAGTATTCACTTAAGAAAAGGCTTCATTAATTTGTCACGAAATCGAGCCCCGTGAAAGCATTAGCCATAATCCAATCATCCGGTTGATACTACAGGCATTAGAGGAAAATGGAGTAAATTTAGCTTAACTGAAGCAATGATGACGGTATGGTTAAAGTAGACTGTTTCCAAGGGAGAAAACAGCCGGGCCACTAAAGCTCAGCGTACACACGCGGAGTCCGCCAGTCCTTTTTAAACGTATTCACTAGGAGGTTCTCAAGCTATGAATGTTACTGAAAACAATGCCCGCAAAGTTATCTTTGAAGTCACTAAGACGAGAGGCGAGGTCAAACACAAACAAAGTCTACTTTTATAAACACAAAAAGGGATATTCTGTTGCACCATTCCAAGCGTTAGGTGGTGAATTCTGTTGCATGGCGAAAGGATTCAAATTGCAGAAGCGACTATCGAGATGACAAATAAGTGGTGGTGCGTGCTACCAGCATGACTTGATGTGGAACTGCGTACGGCGAGCTAAAGCCTAGCTCTAAGGATGTCTTCAAATATCATCTACACGGAAATAAGATGGGGAATGGTGTAAGTATTCAAAGAGAGACTAGTATCACACCAGCAATTGTCAGGCTTTGTGGCTTCGGTCATTCTAGTGGATATTCGGCCAGTGTTCGAACTGCCTATTCAACACAACCTGTGCTAGGATCACCTCAACAACCAACTTTCCAGTGATTACTTTATGAGTACCAATGATGTCGAAAGCTGATGACTTCTGGATAGACTGGTTGGTTCACTTGAAAGGCATTCAATTCGAACACATCAGATCGACTGACAACTCACCGGTCCTGGTGAAGTCGGTCTTTAGAGCGGGAGTTCCTGAGTACTGCAGGGAGATCATGTCAGCATGGTCGGCCCAGAGCTCTCTAAATGCCATTTTGAAGCCAGGCCATAACTCCACTTCTCCGAGTGATGCATTGACAGTAGGGATGCCGGCGTCATGGAGTGCAGCAACGAGAGCACGCTGTGCCAGCACCGATTGGAGTACATTGGTGCGATCGAGGCAGTCGATGCAGTTAGTACGGAAGACGCCGCGCTGTACTGCCAGAACTGTTGCGTCTTGCAGACTCTCTCGTCCACTTGGGGTTGACAACCTCAACTGACTAACAACAGATAAGTGAAAAGAAACGAACGACCAGTAAGATAATAAAGAGTAATCGAAGGTTTAAACAGTCCATTTGGAGTTTATGATATCCTATTCTAGCTTAGTAGTTGCTTTTGAAAGTTCGCTGTTGGACTTCAATAAGGCAAGAATAAAGCACCTTCTAAGTTCGTGGGTGCCTGGAGTTCTTCCAACCACCCAGTTTGTATCAATGAAAATATTAGTGACAGAAGAGGTCTGAGATTAGAATCTAGTTGAATGATCACTCCGACTCATTTAACAATGGTTTAGTGCACTCGAATATGATAACGCTCTAAAGGATACCATTGACCAACGATATTGGTTCTGCTACAGAGTCATTAGTTAGATTCCTCAACATCGTAACAAATAGGGCAGGCGATTACTATTTATTAGTTTACGTTGCTCTTCCCGTCAAGAAGGAATAGAACACGTTCTCCATCAGAGCCCATTTGAAGGAGGACAAGTGGCCAATATTTTTTGGTTCCGTAACATTAATCGTCACTAAAAATTTGGATCATGCAAAACACCCTGTCCTACGTATAATGCTGGCTAACTGTTCGGTTTTCCACCACAAAGGCATCAAAAACACGACGACAGGAGATAATAATAGAAACAAAACTTGAAAACCACCTACCCCATATCAGCGAGTTCCGGTTCCAATCGATCGACAAAAGCATGCACTAGGTTCCACTTAAGCCCTTGGCATTCTCTATGAAAATCGAAGGCCTCGTACCTATCAAAATGCCAAAGAAGAAAAAAAATAAATGGCAACCAATCAGCTAAATAATCAAAGCCGAAGATTGCCATCAACATACTTCAATTCCTCTGGATCAACCGCCAGGGAAGCCAAAGTATACATCCGATAAAGAGGGCGTTCCATGCCAGTCTGATCTAACAAATTCACCGCAATTACTTTTCCATAGCGAAGAAGATAACAGACGTCATGAAAGTGGCGCCGAATAATCTCTTTCTGATTCCGCTCCACATCCGCCAATGACTGCGGTTCGTACAAGGAGTTAGACGACAAGCTACCAAGTTCGGTGCGCCCCAGCTTGATTCTCGGCTTGTACTGCAGTGTTGGACGTTGGCTCCAATAGAGCGGGACACTTCCACGAATCTGAATGAAGGAGTATATATGATTTGGCGGAAGATAGACCAGCTGCTCAGTCTCTACAAAATTTGCAGAATAGGCGTTTGAATCAAGACCACGGGCAAAATAACGGGTTCCAGCCCGTTTTACAGCTCGACGAGAGATAACGGCATAGCTGGCAACACGACCAACGGATTCAGGAGAGTTTGAAGCCTTTATTATCTCGACAAAGCCAAGAATGACAGGGGTGAGATAGTTAGAGGTGTTGAACGGTAATCCACAACTTTCTGCAGCCATGTGAAGCACTCGAGACCAATCTTCCAACTGGACGTTATTCCAAAGGAAGTGTTTATCAGCCTACAAAACGGTTGGTCAAATGGAATATAATGGGCAAAAAACAATCACAAGTGAGGTAATATTATTACTCTCTCAAAAAGGTTCATATTTCTAGACCACGGACCAAATTCAGAGAGGCGTTGTTGAGAGACAGTCAAATCGTAGGTGTTTGAAAAGTACATTCCTTTCAATTGCAGCATGAATGTGAGCATACTGATATAAACAGTCTCAGCTTCCGTCTAAATGTTAGCATAATCAGTAACAGTAAACAAGGCACATGCCTCGGCAGGATTAAGATGACTCATCGACTTAGCGAACGGATGGAGGGATGCAGAAGTTACTCGGAAAATATGATGTCCAAATAAGGTCCCGACAAGTTCGCACCTATCGATTGTCATCAGAAATCGACCTGAGAGAAGATGCATGGTTCCCAGAATGCCATATACCCTTGTTGGCCTCGGCATGACACCTTCGTAATGGGATACATCATATTCTACGTATGAAAAGAGAAGTGGAGAGAATGGTACCTGATATAGAAACGGATTTTGTTACGCGATCAATCACAATTGGTCTTTCCTTAGCTGTTGAGCTTGCATTGTACAGAACATATTGGTCAGGTCCGATAAAACTAAAACATAAAGGAGTAAAAAAAGTTATACAGATCGTATGAACGGGGCGATTCCATTGCCGAACCTATCTATGAGCAAAAATACTTCAAAATACGGACGTGCAGACCAGTTTATACAAACTAAATTCACAGGCAAAATGGGCATTTGCCCGCTATATTTGGTGCATTAGGAACTAAAATATAAAACGTAATTGGAAGTCACCTCATCGATGTTAAACAAGTTGTAAGAAGAAAGAATAAAAAATTGCAGAGGATTTTGTGAAAGCCATTCCTAAGAGTTCGCAATAAGCAGCTAAGCAAAAGTTGTACTTAGGCAAAACAAATTTTTTAGGATAGACTCGTTCCGATTTCATAAAATAACAAGAAGTCCGTTCACTATAGAGGGCAGTGTGTCATAAGTAAATAAAGTTAACACCATAAACGAGTGAAAAGTTTACCGCGACTGCTTTGTAGTAGAACTTTTAATATTGTTGAGGATTTTTGTGGCAGCAACCCTGCACTTTTATTTTATTCCCAGGACTTTCGAAGGATGCCTCCTTGCCCGAGTTTTTTGGCACACTCAAGGGAATACATGGATGAAGATAGTGTAAGGAAGTATGGATATAGCTCAAGCATTCCATTCTTATTTAATGCTGTTGGCCCATGTGGGTCCTTCCGGAAGTTACATGTGTCTTATGCTAGTTTTCCTGTGGTACCAGTTTTGCTCTTTCAAGAATAATCAAATTTGCGCTCGGAATGAGAAAAATATACCGATTGCAATGCTATATGCTAAACGACGCGACTTGATTCGTTTCCAGATTGTCACTTCACCAGTGCAGCATATTATTTCAGTTCGTTAGAAAGAGGTGGCGCATTTCGAGTTTTCATTATGCCGCCTTGCTCGTGCTATTGTGCTCTGTGTAGGTTGGATCTGTCTATTTATTTTGAGTCATTTTTAAGCTAAAAATCTGAGTAGACTATGCGCTACACCGGGAACCATGATTTTGCGGTTTGCTACCACTGCTTCCGAAAGCCCCAAGGTGGTTGAGACGCCAAGGGATAAAAACTTTGCAATCGCAATGAAGGCAGTTAAGGATGCCGAAGAATTGGCTGACAAATACCACAAGGTATGCTAATACTATGCTTACTTTGGCTTTTGCAGTATGTCTCTGATGCTATCGTTCGGTGGAGCAAATGCAATGAAATTTACTATGGCAAGGAACGTGATATGGTGAATTACCCAACGATAAAAGTTCCTGAACGGCACCCGAAAGTTCGTCTAGGATTTATCCCTGATGCATGGTTTCAATTGCTCTATTCTCGTACTGGTGTTACAGGCCCGTACCTCTTCCTTTTCGGTACAACTGCCTTTCTCTTGAGCAAGGAATACTGGGTTGTTGACGCCCATTTCATGGAAATGATCCCATTCGTTGTAATCATGACCTGGGGCATAAAAAAATTTGGTCCTTGGTGCTCTAATTACATCGGTAAAATAACTCAGGTATGGGTGCTTACCAAATTATTAATTATTATTTTCAGCAACGGATTGATAATTTCTACACCAAACCACTGAATAGCACTATGGTAAACCTGGATAGGACCATTAAGTCGGCAGATGAGGAGATAGCACGCGCTGCCTTCCTCCCCAAACTCGTAGCTGCAAAGAAGGAGAACATTGATTTGCAACTGGAGGCAGCGTACCGGGAACGCCTCCAAAATGTCTACAAGGCCGTCACACGTCGCCTGGTTAGTTTAATTTGTTGCTTCTGGTCAATCGAAGCGTTTATTATTATGATTCTTATTGTTGGACCTACTTTTTCGCTACCGTTCTTCGTTGCCAGGACTACCATGTGGAGAGAGAGAATGTTCGGCGCCGTTTTCAACAGCAGCACATGGCGAATTGGATTACCGCCGCGGTGGTGGCGGGTATCACTCCAGCCCAGGAGAAGGAGACTCTGCGAAAGTGCATAGAGGATTTAAGAGCGCTGGCTGCAACACAGTCCGCTTCAAGAACGGCCTAGGTGGTCCACCCTCCCCTCCACACACACTTTTATCTTTAGAATATGGAGTTTAGCCACTGCATTGAGATTGAGTCGGAGTACTATGCTCTAATGCTTTAGTGATGATTTTGCCTCGTATGGATGCGCATCTGTTCGTGCGTAAACTGCTTCCATGTCGGAGGAGCGATGTTTCAAGTGGTTATAGGTGTTGTACTGTTGCGCGTGTGTTTAGTTGCATCGTATTGTCGGTCTTAGCGGGGCAAGCATTACATGGCTTGAGGGCATTGTGCCCTGCCGCTGTCGTCGATGGGCAGTTTTGGGAGTTGTGGGCAGCAAAGACTTGTTGAAACTCCTTCTACTTACGATCTGCTAGTAAATGTTGAATTTACTGGCCTTATTTGATCAGGCAGCATCGGCCCACCTGGTCAATGCTGGTCAGACTATTGTGGACGTCGACAACCAAACATGCGTCGCATACACGCGACCACTCAAGTCTGCATTTCAGTCAATCTGTGGTGAGACAAGCAATCTTTTATTGGCGTTGGAGGCCTATGTAGGAGGCGCTCGCCTAGCCTCAGGCTCTCGAAACACGGACTTCAAGAGAGGGTTAGTTGCAGTACACTTATCAGGCATTGATTACAGGAAGAACGGGGATAGGAGTACAGGTGATTCGAATAGCAGACATCACCCGGAGACGGATTCCTCACGGTTCTCACGCGCCGGATTCGCGTTTCAATATGCTTCTCCTACCAAGGTCAACTTCACCACTCCAGTATATTGTTACAGCCCATGGTCTCCATTGTTAATCTCGGGTTTCGGTTATCTCTGTATTGCACTTGACGGATAAAGTTCCTGCAACTTAAGGCCAAGTACTGCTTGGAGGGCGATAGGGACGACAGTTGTGCAGTAACAAGACCACACTTGATTTGTTAGTCCTTACACATTTGTAGAACTGAGGTGGGATTGACCATGATGAAGTGCATGGACTGAAACGCAAAAGCAGTCGTGGTTGAAGGCACTGAGACTGCAGGAATCAGATATGGAGGGGAGTGAGTGAAGGAGGGTACGCTTTGGCGCAGATAAAGTGCATCTGTTGGTCCAAGTAGACAGCCAGGTTTGATATGATCGGATTAGGGGTGTAAGGCAGTTGTCGCGACTACCCTCCTAGTCGGCAAGTGCAGATGAGGAGGTAAACTTTGGCAACTCTCTTTACTAGGAAGGAGTGTCAGCAGGCGTTGCAACTAGCAGGCAATTCCGTCTGCGCCCTTTCCGCACATCTTACGGTTCAAGCTAGCTCCAGCGACAACTCAGCTTTCTGTACAGAGTAGGCTTGAAGGATCTGCAGCAACAAATTAAACGCACCACCTGACTGCAAAGCCTGGGGACGGAGGCTGCGTGGGCGGAGAATAGAGGTGTTTCAAGTGCTTAGCATCATTCCTTGCTCCCATTTGAGGCCGATCGGCCAGCCGCCGCCGCATCGCACCATTGTCAAGAGGAAATGCACTCGAAGGTACAAGGCATTACTTCAACAGCACAACAATCCATCAAGATCTGCGTCAATGTGCTATTCGACGTCTGAAGGGTCTGCCAAGTTGAGGCTACAAAGACATCTCTCACAATCAGTTCAGCTGCTACACAGGCAGTGTTCACAGCACACCCCTAAACAATGGCATGCGAGTGACTTCTGCGGGCCACACTCTGAGCAGGCAACGACGCACAAACCTCGATCAATTTAAGGCTAAGGGGACACTTCGTGCAAACATTTGACCAAGATGCACACGATAAACGCTTTCATTATGGGAATTTTGCGTGCGCACAAGACTAGCAGCGTTAATGCGATCCAAAGTAACACGTAAACGTCCGCAAAACACCCAAGACCATCCATAGCTCTTGTCACTAGAAAGCCAAGTCGACAGCAAACAATGTGTTCCTTGCTCAGGCGAGCGTGGCACTGCTATGGCGTCTGCTTTGACGGTCGACAGACACATTGAGCATAGTGATAACATTGCGACAGGAAGGTTAAGGCGAAATATTCGTGCAGTACTGCAGACACCACCCGTACTAATTCCGTAGCCGTTCGAATGTCACGATCATGCACACAAGAGACTCCCGAACAGAAGAGTGTGCTTTTGTCAGCTAGACTCAAAGCGAATGCAAGCAAAGCTAAGCCACCCATAGTAGAGAGGAGAGCGCTCCCCTTGTAACTCTGCTCGCTTAAATTTGTCCTATGGAGTTAATTCTCCATCGTCGCCTTTCAGCTTCGAACTCATCCCTAACTGTGCCACTACGGTGCCCTGCCAAACCAAACTTTAAAGGTCACGCAAACAGCGTTTCAAAGAATTCCTCCTCGTTTGAGACGTTTCGTTAAAAGACCGCACACAGGGTAACAGTTCTGCAAAATACCACCATCATTTTCCTTACAAGAGTAGAGACGAAGAGGCAAAGGAAATGCCCACGTCTTCACAAAAAGCAGTTCTGGCTTAACAGACGAGAGCATTCCGGACTGAACACATTCGGCGGAAATCTTAGCTCTTACAATTCCAAAGAATAGACTCCTATAGTCGCCGGAGGTAAGTTTGACACTCAAGTGACGGGTGATTAATGACGTTCGTTGGGTGAAGTGCGTAGCTGGAGAGTTCGAGGGGATGAGGTCACCCATGAGGAGCAAGCAACTGGACATCACGGTGACAATGAGAGCGGCATTCATCCGATAGGTTCGCCCCTTTAAAACAAATACACTACTCACTTGGGATATAGAGGCACCTCCCTTACCATCTTCTAAAAAATAACATCCTCACACCTTCAAGGGTAACTACATGATACATGGAAGGTGACCAGCGCCTCCGTGTCTGCCACCCCAACGTCCGGTAGCCTCCATTGCCCTCACGCCCAATCCTCAACCAGAACAATAAAGATGAACGAGAACTTCACTCTCCACTCACATCTCCTTTTCGCACCTCAGAACAGACGAATCGTACAGCTCGTCGTGAGGTGCGTACGTCGACAGTTGTGCCTACGTCATTTCAGGTTCAAATGAACTCACCAGGCTTCGTAGATAGAGTAACGATAAAGACAAAAAGGAAAGCATGAGGCGGAGTATCCGTCGTGCTGTTCAACAAGCACCAAATGTAAAACTCCTATAATTCAACCGAATCGATAAGGCTCGTTTGAGACGCCGTAAATGCTAGTCGAGGAACTAGAGAAGACATTCTTAATTAAGCGACGACATCTGGATGAAGGTCAGTCAAGCCACACTGAAACAACTCTTCCCATTTCACATTCCTCCACGGTGGAAC